ATATATATATATATATTCTGACTGATCCATATAGAGCACATTGAGACGAACATTTCAAAAGAATGAAAAATGTAAACGGTTGGATAGTTTCTGTGATATTTTCAAAAAACTTTTCAGAAACAATCATAGATATTTCAGAAACTACTCGACCGATCGGGCTGAAATTCAGCACAGATGAAGCCCATATTAGAACCTATGAACTGACCAAATTTCAGATTTTTGGGAATTAATTTACCCAATTATACTCCTTCTTTTGTAAAAATTGACCCTCAGCTGACCATAATCACATACACACACGGTCTACAAACGTGGTATTTTTACGTTTCAGATCATTCTACGTCATTTCCAGGCAAAATTAGAGAATCGAAAAATCGAACGATTGCAATGCTTCCGTTCGGAAGTAAAAACAATAGAAACCTAAAAAAATAAGTAGGACATTATTGTCTTCTATATTACTCAGGCAGTTTTTCTCCTGGTACGTCTGGGGTAGATCTTACCTTCTCGTGAGCCACCTTTGGCCTTGCTTGCTGTTTATATCAGTCTTTTCGGTGCATTAATTTTTGTAGCTTGCTCGTCAGCAAGTTGATTCTGATAACTTGGACGTGTTACGATCGTTGCATGACCTGGTGTTCGGGGTTTTCGAGACGTTCAAGGCTTACAATAATCCCAGCTCATCTCAGGTCGATTCGAATTTCACAGACTCTAGAAGATAAAAATTGTCTACATATTTTGTAAGGGTTAAGTCGTGTTTTCTGTACACTTCGTTTTTGTTTCCTCTATATCTAACAAATCGCCCACTTAATTAAAAAAATTTCACTGGTCCATCTTGCCCCACCCGCCCCTGAATAATAACAAGCAGTTGGCCGTTCCTGACGTTAGAAGACATATGATTGTGACTTTACATGTTATTTATGTTTTTTTTATTTTATTTTGCCATCAATTTCATTGATGGTTGGGTTGCGAATAGACATGAAAATTCAAATTTTTTCATATTTTTCTTCGAACGCGTACATCTTCTTGGTGCATCTAAATAGGGCACAATGTAGGGAACATTTTGAAAAACAGAAAAATTAAATCAGTTGAGTTGTTTTTCATCAATCAGAGAGGGCGTAGAACGCATTTCTTTGAAAAACCTGCAAATTGAAATATCTCGAAAACTTAACGGGAATATATATATATATATAGGTTCTGATTGATTCATATACAATACATTTCAAAGGAATAGAAAATGTAAACGGTTGGATTTCTGAGATATTTGCAAAAAACTTTTCCGACACACTGATATTTAAAAAACTGCTCAACCGCTCGGGCTGAAATCTAGCACAGATCAGGACCAATGGACCAATGATCGACCATTCGATTTGCCAATAGGACCATTGCTCAACCAATACTAAAACCCTACTTGAGAAAGAGGGAAGTGTAGTATGGTTTTTTTCTGTTTTAATATTTTCATTGTATTTTCTCTTACTCTGGAAGCTCGATGCTTGGTTTGTATGAAAATATGTGATTAATGATCAATAACTCTGAATTCCCCCATTTTCACATTTTAAATTTTTGGATCAACACGACACTCAGCTTTTTCTAGCGTGATCATTATCCTTTCTAGAGGGACCATTAATTACATATTTTCATACAGAAAATCAAATATCGGATTTTGAAAATGGAAGAACACACGATAAAAATATTGAAACTGGGAAAAAATATAAAAAATATAAAAATATATAATATATTGTTATAAAATATATAATATATTGTTTTCCCGTGATGAAAAAGATATCAAAATTCATGGAAAAAATCAACCTTTTTTGAGAATTAAAACGAAAGTGTTGGACAGGCCGAAAATTTCTGCTTTCTTCAATTTAAAAACTGAAAATAGTCATTTTAGAAATGATGTATATTCTTGCAGTTTTTTTCAATAAGAATATAGTTAAAAATTGAAATTAGCAAAAAAAAAACTTCATTTGGTCAATTTTTCGGGGAGTTATGAATTTGTTAACAAAAAATTTGAAAAAAACCGTGAATGCTTTTCCCATTACCTACTACTCCTAACAAAATCAGGGAAATCCAAATTTTGAAATTTTCTTCTTGTTTTTTTTGCAAAATGCTCCATATATAAGGTCTCCAATGAATAGTTTTGACATTCCTTTTTAATTTTTCTGAATTAATTAAAACTATCATGAAACAAGAAGGGGACACCAGATCATATTATGATGCTCTGGGCTTCATACCAATCGCTTTCCGTCTACCAATTCTGGGGACCAAATATAAAAAATTACTAATTTTATGTCTTGATGAGAACATATTATTTAATGTAACCGCAGATTTCAAGGTAATATCAGTCAACTTGTTAAAATTTGAGCGACAAAAAATTACACTGGTCTCAGTCTTCAGGATAAAAAAATGTCAATGTTGATTTGATATCGACGTTTTTTGGTTAATGTTTAGAGTTTTGAAATTAATGGCTATGCCACACCTATTTCACAGTACTTTATTCAATAGTCCAAGTTTCTTATAATAATTTACATTTTTTTGTGATTGTTCATTCACCTTGACACTCTCATTACCCTAAATAAAAGTAAATGCGCTTATAAAAATATTCAAGCACTCAATATCGTAGAGACAACGATAACAGTAATCAAAACGGAGACGTTTCATCTTCTCTCTTCAAAGTATTACAAATCGTACCTGAAACTAATAATTTCGATACTTTTGCTTTCATGTTATATAAATTTGTAATACTATATAATAAAATTTTTAACAGTTCTTTGTCCTCGAAACTAGTTCTTTCGATCGAACGACAAAACAAGGAATAATATAGAAACAGACAAACATGAATCAAATTATCACATATAAGTAATACGATTTCCTTTAGCGAAAGGTTTTTGTTCTTCAACCCAAATATTTTATCTCTAATTGTAACATATATACAATGATCAATCTTTTCACAGAGATGTTTCGAATTTATCATAGTATTTAACCTAAAGTTGTTAAGACGTTTGAACTCATTTCATGAATATTGTTATCGTGGCTGTCAATCTCGGATGACTCCCTCGGAAAAATGAGACACACAGCAAGAAAGCTGGAGTACTTAAAGGCTATTTCTCTAATAGATAATGAAAAAAAATCGGTCATAATTGATCAATTGATTTGTACGTGCGTTTGTTTTCTCAATCCCGAAAAAGTCACCGAAGCGGAAAATCCGTCTGCTATAATGATTTATACACAACGGCTTCTTAAAAGGCACGGGCAGAGAGTTCAGGTATAGAGGGAGATAACAAAAGCATTCCACCTTGTACGAAAGTACCTGTCGACCCTAGTCTCGGCCGCACCTGCCACTGTTTACGGCAGCAATGCTGTTTCCCAACCCTCATCATTACCTTTATTCTTTTTCTTTCCTTCCACTTCACTTATTTACCTGTTTATCCTTCATTTCCTTTTGTGTCCGCCAGAAAAATGTAAAATTCCAAAAAGAACCAGAACAACATTTCACAGACAAAAAAAAATTAGGGGAGCGTGGGGTAATACGGACAGTTTTTAAGGAATGTCAGAAGTGAAACATGGCTGTTGCCACAATTTCATAATATATGTGACAGCATCTAAATAGTATTAGGATAAAGAAGAAAAGGTGTAAAATAGGTCTTCTAATTTTTTATCCAACGGAGTTCAGCAGTGGAGTGGGAAATAGGAATAGCTAAATATATTTTTGTATCGCTCTTAAATTCAAAGAGCTTTGTGAAAAACTGAGCTCGGAGTCCAATTCATTTATCCTCCTTCAACATTCCACTACTGAATTGAATGTTCTCGTGTTACAAAGAAAAATTGAAGAAAGAGAAGTGTCCATTTTACCCCTTCTGTTTATATAATCCTAACCACCCTTATGTTTCTTCAAAAAAATTGGCACTAATTTCATCTCATGAGCTGCGTCATAATATGCACACCCATTATCATTAAGATTCCCATAATAATAAAAAGATTCCTCTACAATATATCACTGGTTTACTAAAGTACCGATAATTGCACTTTTTTGACAAGTAAAAATGTCACTCAGACGCATCAATCTGAAATTGTTTTAAACCTGTCGCTAGTACCGGAAATATTTCCAAGAATTCACTCACGCGATGATGTAAAAAAATATCCGTTATTTTGAAATGAAATAACCTCACAAAGAGGGTCATCTCCTTCGAATAATGAAGCCTGACGACCCACGATGATGGATGACTGGTCAATGGTCCACCTCTTCCCACTGCCGAATCATCCCTGTGAATCCGAGGTTTGGATTTAATCGAGGGTCAGTCCATTTACAATTCTTTTTGCCGTGTTATGACCATCATTTACCGACGCATGATGTCGGCAATGGTGAAACCTTGCCTAGCAGGCGCTGGTCTTGACGGTGGTGGTTGAGGCGTTGGGACTTGTGATGATCGTGCCTCTTCCTCGCCCTTGATCCTTTCCCTCTCACGCTGCCTTTCGAGCTCGCGCTCACACTCTCGTTCTCTTTGTCGCTCAAGCTCCCTCTCGCACTCCCGTTCTCGTTCCTGCAACTCTAGAAGCATTCTGGAGGGCCCTGGTGATCCCAATCGCCGCCTGTATGAAGTTAGGATGGGTGGAGGTGGCGCCAGGTTTGGTGGCGCTGAATTTTGTGGTGCAGTCATGGCATTGCTACTCGTTACAGTTTCCGGTTTCACTTGCAGAAGATCCCGCCGGATTTGTAGTTGCGGTCGGGAGGGGAGATTCTGGGAAGTGCCAGGATATGCTGTAGATGAGGAAGAATTTCTGGGGGCTGACGTGGTGGCGGATGTTGACGGACCTACGTCGGGACAGTCCTCTTCAGGGCTGTCGTCGTCCCGTAATGCCTCTTCGAGTGCCTCCGGAGGTACGTCGCCGACTGCGTGAGTCAGCGCATGCCTTCTCAAGTCGCAATTTCGCCGGAAGACTTTTCCGCAGGATGTGCACTCGTAAGGCTTGTGATCAGTGTGGGTTAGCAAGTGCGTCTTCAAATTGCTGCGCTGATTGAAGCTCCTCGAGCAGACCGGGCACTTGTGCGGTGACTCCTCCATATGAAGGATCTTGTGGACGGCTAAGGTTCGGCTTTGGCAGAAACCTTTGCCGCACTCGCCGCACTTGAATGGTTTTTCTTTACTGTGGATATACCTGTAAAAAAAACGTTGGGGATCAGTTATAACCGGGTGCTATCCGTGGATAGCAATGAGCCGTAACTTACCGATGATCTCGAAGGTGATCTTGTCGGCGAAATGCTTTCCCGCAGATATCGCATGAGTATGGCCGCTCATCCGTGTGCGTCCTCTCGTGGATGAGGAGATTGTACGATTTCGTGAACTGTCGATTGCAGAATTTACAAATGAATTGTTTCTTCGGACGAGAGGCTCTGCCGGGAGCCCGTAGCAGTCTTCTGTCCAAGTGTTGGTGAGTCAGCGGCCCACCTGGTGGGTAAAGCGCAGATGAGCCCGGAAAAGGTCCGGTGAAGACTGGATATCCTGGAGGTGGTTCTAAAAGCGGTGGCGGGGGAAGAAGGAGTGCTCTAGCTGCAGCTAGCTCCTTACGCTTGTCCGCCATCATTGCCATGATTTCATAGCTTGATGTCGTCTTTCTTGATGAGGATTCTGAGGCATCATGGTCTTGATTCGAAGAAGATGAAGATGAGGGACCTGTCAGGTGTGCGTGCATCTCGCCGGGGTACGGGGCCAGGTGAAGACGTGATGGAACGACCGGGACGAACGCCGAGGACTCTCGGTGGTGAGGGTGCCCCAGACCCGCGACGAATCCATGGTGATGGTGATGATATGCCGCTAGAGTTGACGGGTCAAAAGTCCGCGGCGAGGGTAGCCCAGTGCTGCTCGTCGAACAGGATGATGTTGACGACCTCGATGTCAACAACTCGCGCGTGGACCTTGTGCTCTCCTCCGTCGTCGACGCTGAAGTCACCACCAGATCGGTGGGCATTCTGATAATTTTTAATTATTACTCAGCGTCTGAAAAATCATAAGAAACATTTTATCCATTCGCAGAGTATTCTGTGCACGTCATAATCGGTCATAAATTTTATATGATTCTCATTAATTTCTTTATTATTTCTTCTTATGCTATTCGTGCTTTATGGTCACTGTATTCTCACGCTTAACTCCTTCATATTGTATGAGGATAATTGTACTTGTTACTCTGCCAATTCCGGAACTTTTCATTCGTAATTATTTGAACAGAAATTTATCCGCTTATTCTGGTACAAGAAAAAGGAGCAAAACAATTGCGAGGTTTCGATCAACTTCCGGTTTTGGTCATTTTGTTGCAAGAATGAGGCCCGTGCGTATGTGCCCTCTATCGGTAGTGATTACACATCACAATGATGCAGGCTAGTGAAAACATATGAGTGGCCATTCCACGAATCTAAGACTGGTTATCTCGAGCCACACACCTGCCAACATGGCTTCCGCGAGACCATCATGGCTGGTTCGATCGGCCATATTGGATCACAAAGGTAGTCGCCATGCAGCTTATCAACTCTTATCAATAACTTCATCCTCAAAACATCATATCAAAAATAAAAATACGGCTTTCATTCAGAACAGAGTAAGCTGAGAAAGATCTTTACCTTTTGTTAAAAATAGATCGGCAACCCGGGGCGATCAGTCTTTTATCCAGTCTCGCATGTCGAGGCCAATGTTCTATCTCTCTCTGATGTTCGCTGGACCACGCAGCCTCACACTAAGTAAAATCTCATCTTTCTCCAGTGATCATCACTCATAATACAACCAAGAACTCAAAATATAAAGAAAAAAATTGAAAACCGATTTTTAATTATTTATTCACTCCACTTCATCTCCACATAAATTAAAACCACGAGCGCACGTGATGAATGTCAGCGCTCCACGTCTCAAACTTTATGTTTCATTCTTTAATGCCACTCATCACAATATCAACAACATTTTGAAAACAGTAGTTGGATTGATAACACCTAGCTTAAGCGCGTTATAATGCTGGTTTTGCGTGGCTGATGGTGGTGCGCGGTTTACTGCGTGTTGGACGCCGTCAGGTAGGCTTCCACCCGTTCTCCACACAACCACACACTAGTCAGTTCCTTACAATTTTCACCAACACATCAGCATATAACCCGACCTGCACACACAGGAGGGTGAATGCCTGTGTAGCACAGCGGTTAGTCGACTCTTTCCGTTTGGCTGCCGCTAGTAGCGCTGCCGCTGCTGGATGCTGACTGCGTTTTGCCTCATGCGCGCTCACTTCCGCGCATTCCGCATCATGCTTGCCTGACAGAGACAAGTGGCCAGGTACACTGTCCTAAAAAAAACACAGTGTGGGGGTACGCGGAGTGCACCTGAAGTAGGAGAGGGAGAGAGAGGGAGAGTTCACCTGAATGCATGAAGCTGAGAGGAAGGAGACGGAGAGAATGAGAGATGGAAGATGGCAGGCGGCGATTGGGATAATGTTGGAAGGAGATGGCGAGATGTCGCCTAGTGGGATCTCACGTGGAGAGAGGGCCAGAATCATGTTGTTGTCGCTTGCGAGGACCACAGGTTGATCGTAGGAGGTGGTTTGGACCCGGGCATGGTATGAAGTCCAGGGATGTAGCGAGTATCAGGCCCCCATTGAAATCATTTGGAATGGGGCCCGTTGTCCGTTGATTGCAACTCCAATCATCGATGTGGCTGTAATTGCGGGAACAATCGTTTTATTCCTTTGGTGGGTGGAGCGGCCCGCACAGGGTTGAAGTTGGATTCAATGAAGAGTTATACGGGGGGCTCCCATGGGTTGCCAACCAGGCCTGCCGAGTGGATCGGTCGCCGATGGTGGACTATAACAGTAGAGACATGGAAGAGCCAGGATTTAGCCTGCAGCCAGAGGCATTCCTGGCTGCTCTTGAGAGATCGGAGGGGCCCCCTTGGCGGCACTCGACGACGCCCAGGCTCCCATACTGGGGATAAAAAAATACTTCGGCTCACTTCTTATGTCCCCTCGTGAGACATTACTACTGTCCTTCATTTCTTTTCGTTTGGAGGATTTTTTCTTTCTCTTTCTCTTTCTCCTTTGCATCAGGCCACGATGGGACTTCCAGGCTTTGGAAACACCTGTGCTCAGAACACGTATTCAAGTGGAAAATTGAGTGAATATTATTTTTTTCTCGTTAAAGTTTTGATGTGTGGGGAGGAACCGGTGGGGGAATTACTTTTTATTCCTCAGAAGTGCTGCATTATTAGTAGATAAAAAATTTTTCATGCTCCATTTGTGGGCCTTTCAGGAATATATGACAGAGGATTGTCTGGATTGTACGGTCTTCATGCTCTGATATCCAGATGTAAAGCAATGAAGTTTGCGGGAAATGTCGGATGCGTAGGGCGATTATGCAAATGCTCAGGGCAGGATAAAGTTTATTGCTCCTTTAGGTTTTCTGCAATCTGCTTCGAAACAACGTAGATTACTCTTCAATCCGTGGTTTAGGAATTGTTGAGGGATAATTTTGCGTATGGCCGAGTGGGAGTGTGAAATTTTAGCCGATCTTCTTCGACACATAAAACTATTTGGGAGTATTTAGTGTCGGAGTAGCATTCCAGAGCACATGGTTACTAAAGTGGCTATCTTCTTTCCTTTGAGTAGTCAGTACCGACACGAAGAAGATGAAGAAGGAGTCTTGACTTGAAAAGAAAATAAAAAAAAGGAGTATTGAAAAAGAAAATGAGAAGGCATCGTCTGATGCCCGAGAGCCTAAGTGTATATGCGAAGAGGTTGGCTGGCGTGCCTCTGCTGTCGTTTTGTTCACTGAACTAGTTCCCTCCCGTCTCACTCCACCGTCATTCCATCGCTTCTAACCCCCACAGGCTCATGGGTAAAATACGTATTGGTCAGAGGAAATCGGAGGAATCCAACGAACAAAGCATAGTCCCGTAGTTTTTGTTCAAGTTGGGCCACCTCGAGAAACTTTTTTTTTATTTTATCTCATGTTATTTAAAATTTTTTTGCAGGGTACAGGCATACCGACACGACACGTAATGAGAACGCAGCATCAATCCTCGGCTATCTCGGGGATATCGCAGAAGATGAGAGGTACAGGTAAGTCCCGGTTAAGTGCAACGAAGATCGAACTATCGAGAGGAGGATAAATACTGCTGCAGAGGCAGGATGAAGAGGCAACCGATCGGCACTTGAAGGATATCGGTGGTCAGCTATTGCAGGGACGCTGCCTCCGTTGGATGACCCGGAATGAATTCTTCGGAATGGATTATGCAGTCTAGGGTTTTATTATCCATTATGAGACATTGAGGTAAGTAACGGATAAGGAAGATAGGTATATGAGTAAGGTACCTGAATTCGTGAATAACATTTTTAATGAACAATAAATTTACGTACAAAAATGTTGTGTTTCATTTTTCCTGCATATGTAACGAAAAAAAGATGGGATGTCAAATTAGTTTTTTTTTAAGTGGTCGAGTAATGAAACATTCTTTCGTCTCGTTCACTCGCACTATTAGTGCGTGGAGTTTACGAAGGGAGATGAGGCATTTTTTTTTCTGCATAATTAGGTTGCGCCGCGGTCGCTCTAATAACACGTAGGGGTCCACTGAGTTCCTTTCCAACACACCAGCCGCTTCGGGCTGTAATTTAAATCGCAAAGAGCCCTGAAACGCTCGCTATCTTCTCCTTCTTACCTCTCCCTTTCTCCTTTCTGGGCTTTTTCGAACTTATTTTCCTTTTGGACCTTTTTTTCTTTGCCTTCCTTTCCCCATCACCGTGGACGGCCCCTCGACGTACACGAGAGCGAGATGAGAAAACATTCACACACGTCAAAGAGAGGGAAGTTACTTTTCATGCAGGGGGGTTATTTGAAGGGGACAAATGGGGGCTAAGTGAAACATTAAAATTCTTGGAAGGGAAAAAAAATATCATTAGCGCACAGGTTGGAAGAAGAGTGATGGAATAGGTTTCATTCTGTTTTATTCTAAAACACAGGAAATGTTTCAGGTAAACAATATCGCTTTGTTTACCAAATATTATTTTTCTTCGTCGTTATCTCAGGTGTTTGAAGATTGTTTTATCACACTTTACTTAATTATTTTATCATACGTCACCACATTTTCTTAATTATTTTTTTCTCCACTAAAGGGCATCTACCGCATAAACACAACGTTTTACCTCTAGGTTCTACAACAACAACGTTTCTTAACAAATTCTTTAAAAAATGAAAATGTAAGCGCTGGTTCTGTTTTTTGGATTTTTTTTCTCTCCTCGGTTTTGTTATCAAAACCGCATTATGAACGCGTTATAAAGTGAGCACACTGACCTCATATTTACATTAATTCACCTTTTTCATCTATTGTGAATTATTGTGGTCTTACGGTTTGAGTGGTTTACTTTACAAAAATTTTTTGGTTTTATGTTTTTACTGTCTTCAAATAATTGTTCGTGAGTCGATAATAAAGAGTCAGTGCTGACCGATGGTTGCCAGTACCAAAGGGAATTAATCTTACCGATAAGGACTACGATCGATAAACATTCTGATACACATGAAAAATGTCGATACAAAAAACCTAGTGGTGTTTTCCAAAAGAATTTCCATTAAATTTTTGATGGAAGTTTATATAAATTTTACTGAAGTTTTATTAGAATTGTAATTCTTAGGGGAGAAATTCGATTGGCGATTATGCAATTTTATCGTATAAGAGAGATATCCGATAGAAAACAGTCAACAGATTTATTTCCCACAGATATCTCATGATAATGTTGCAGATAAATTCAATAAATTCACATAAAATTTATAAAAATTGAAAAATCATGCCCTTAAATTTTCAAAGATAAAATCCTAAGAGGATATTAGGTAAACACATCAACTTCTATAGGTTTCTTTTCCTATAAAATGTTCATTCACACATGCGAGTCTTGTTGCATCATTTTTATAGCATTCTGATAGAACAATTAAAAATTTGAGAGAAATTCTTAAACAAAGCACAAAGATTTTTCATGGATTTTTTCCAGCGTGCAATTATTTGAAATTCCAATTGTTACGTTCCAGTTGAATTACTAGTCATGTTGAAACAATTTCCTGGGATCGATAATTCGTATTATGAAATTAAAAATGTACCATAGCTGAATTTTCCGTCGAATCTTGAAAAAATCATCAGCCAATTATTAAATGATGAACAAATGGGGTTGCTATCATACAATGACGCCATTGGCAGCTGTTATAATCTGGTATTAGTCTTGATTATTATCTTACATTTTGAGCGATTTTTGCATATCCGTTTAATTTCATGATTATCTCTTTCAAAATTTACATTCCATCTTTGTATTTTTATTAAATCATTCTTGTGGCTAAATGTGCCAGAACACATAAGATATTCGTTTTTATCACTAAAAGTGAAAATTTGAAAATTTATCGAATTAACACATCCATAAAACGTCGGATGTTTCATGCCAATAAAAAAGCCTATCACCGGCGAGAATTTCAATATAAATTTTCAAATATTTCCCTCTACATTTCACCCCGACGAAATTACAATCCAATAACTCTAAAACTTTGTTAATATCCCTAAATATTTCTTCCATAGCTCCATAAAATACATAAAATCCATATAATTCTCTGTTCTAAATCTCCACATGAAACTGAAAAAGTCGACGCACAATTCCCCCATTTACATCACGAATAACAAAATCAAAACACTCTCCATTCATCCGATAATTTCCTCCAATTTTCCTATCCCTAATTGTTCCATTACATCGTAATAATTATGCGATAATAAACCTATGAATAAACAACAACTATTGCTCCATTCGCTCGCTTATTAATCCACACATCACTCGGCGTCAACAAAATAATCATCTTGAATACTCGCTGTTAGAATTTCTCTATACAATATAATATATATAATGTATAATATCGATTTATGTTTTACTGCAATATTTTTAATCGATTATAACAACAATAATGACTCTAAAGCATTGGCAATTGTGCACGTGGCTAAATAAATACATAACGTACATATTATTTTTATAATAATCGATGGTAAGGGGCCGACAAATGAATATAAATAGTTCAAAACAGAATAGGGTCAAGCACAGGATATTTAGATAATCTTGTTATGTCGAGAAATAATGAGTTGGATGATTGGTTATTCTGGTGGACAATAGTCCATCTAGATAATCTAGTTTCGATTGATATTTTGTAACTTATGTTAGTGAGGATGCACAATCTGGGACGGCGGGAATTTAATTTGTTGATTTCTGTAGCGAACAGATAATGGCTATCTGAAAATTTTCAGAAGGAAATTTCCAGAAGGAAATTTCCAGAAGGAAATTTTCAGAAGTATATCGAAGTGTACAAGAAATAAGCCATTTTCTAACTTTTCTCACATTAAAGAGCCATTGGAGATATCTTCTCATTTTTCAATTATTTGTATTAAATTTTACGAAACGTTTAATAACATTGACGTGGAAAAAATCTACCATTTTCAAGTTTTACAATTATTTAATGTTTCACGAAGTTTCATCGTGGTAGAAGAATTTTCCTACATTTACAGTGAACTTTTGCAAAAATTCACAAAATTTTACCAAAAATTTCGAAAAATAGGGGCACGACTATGAACATCTGTGAGTCATTGAAATCCACAGAAAACATAAGAAAATTTGAAGATATCGGCTATAACTCTTTAAGACTCGCATATAATATTGATCGGACGTAATCTTTGGTTTGAATTTTATCTTGTTAGTGTAAAATATTTATAAATTTGGATTTCAAATTCTGTTGCGCAAACTACTTCAATGGTTATATAAAAATAATGATAAAAAAAGAGGAAAAATTGTTGACGGATGACACATTGAGGTATCGATTCCAAGGGATTTATCAAGCTTACAGAAAAATCATTAATAATACGCGATCCTTATGCAAAAAGTACCAACCATTGGAGTTGTTGCCGTCAAACAATTTGACACTAAAATTTAGAAATATTTTGCACTGGCAAAGTGAAACTGAAATAAAAAATTAGGCACGATAAATAGTTCCCCGTGAGGAAAAAATTAATTTTTTGAAATGCATGAAATTCTGAATAAACACATTCGAGGATGGGCTGAGACAAGAATAGTATATTTCCAGCCTGTTAGGGTGGGGTTTTTTTACTTATGTTTGCCGAAGGCGAGAACTGGCCAACCACACTAGTAAAAAATCCGATCCCAAAAACCCGTATATTATTTAGTATTTTAAGTTCGTAATGATTTTCAAGTTTTCGAGTTTGGGAAGTATATAGTACCAGACGAGAAATCGTGAGAGCCAGTACGGAAATAGTATTTTTCACGCCTAAGATGGAAAAAGTGACTCAGAATCACTTTTTTCGCTGTGGATATGATGCTATTTTATGTCATTGTGGCCGAAAACGCGTCTTACCGACTGCCACCACATAAAAGATTATACTGAAAGAACCATTCCATCTCTTCGCTACAGATTTCTATTTTATTATTTTTTTTTTTTCGATTAACTTCCGTTTTCGGAATCGGCTGATGTGGGCATCTCCGAATTTTTTTTATTTTTATTTTACATTCGATGAGCATTGAACATTGCGTTACTCTTGGGCGATTTGTTGGCAAACGCGTCAGCCGACCTTTATCCAACGGTCGATCGAGTACTCAAGCGCTGCTAACCACCTAAAGGAATTTATTGTTTATTAAGATCAATGGGGCTTTACACTGGATGACCTTGAGTGCATGGGAAAATAAATGAGAGCATTGGTTATAAATAATCAAGTAACGAAGTGATAAAGCAAGATAAGCCTCATTTGATAGTTTGTGAGATGATCATTAATGCAAGAAACTATGGGAAATTCCAGGCCAATTGAGGAAATCGTGTGATCTCGTATTCTTCAGTGTTTTTTTGGCATTCACAAAATATATAAGCCTTTTCAAATAAATCATTTTGGTTTTCGTCTCTAGCTCTTATGGTTCTAGAGTTATGGTGACTGGTAATTTTGAATGTTTTTACGATTTGGATTTGATTTACATAATCATATCTTTCGAGTAAACTATTTCCCTCGAGCAACTCAGCAGCACAAATTAATCGTCATGATGTGTTCTTTCGGAATAATTCGTGCAAAGAAATTTTTAAGTTGAAAAAATATTTTTTTTCGGAATGGAGAATGTTAAAAATTTAGAATTTTCCGGATATGCCCATTTCTTTCGAATGAAGAAAATAGACTATATTCGACCACCTATAATGATGATTTTGAGCCATTGGGCATCATGGGAACGTCATTAACAAGGTGATTAAGTGAGGTTCAAGACGACATTCTGCAATTAAATTGTAGAAAGATTTATTATTTTTTGTACATATGCTATGTGAGTGAACAATTAACTTGAGACTGTGAAGATGGATGAATTTGGAGCCCCCGATTCTTTTTCCACTTTCAATTTTTGGAGTTCTCAATCATGCAAAGTCAATTGGTCGGATCATGCATAGAAGTTTCTTCGTTCTAAGGATTAACTTTGCATTGGCCAAACGATCCTGGAGTTGAATCTTAGTGTCTTCATATTCAGCTTTAGACGAGTATTTTATCTCAAAATTCTGTAACATTCTTGACGTTTGACACCATTCAGCGTATTGTACTCGGGTTGTAATTTGTTATTCCGCTTGCTTTTGGAGACTTGCTCAAACAAGCGTACGTTTTATAGTACTAGTCGACCGTACGGACTCGTCCCGTGCGATATCTCAAAATAATGAAGCTCAATGTGTACTCGACGTAGTTTTCCCATATTTCTTGTGGTATAGACGTGGTATATACATGGTATATACATGGTATATACGAGGTATGCACATGATAGTTATGTGGTATATACACTGGTAAAGGACCGAAACGGTTTAGGATAAGGAAATAGTATTTTTCACGTCTAGGATGGAAGAAGTGAATTACTTTTTTTTGCCGTAGCTATGATGCTATTTTATGTCATTGTATCCGAAAACGCGTTTTTATTGGAGCGAAGCGAGGTTAGAAGCGCGTTTTACCGGGCGCAATGACATAAAAATGTTTATGTCGCTTCGCTCGGATAAAAACGCGTTTTCGACCACAATGACATAAAATAACATCATAGCCAGGGTAAAAAAAGTGATTCTGACTCATGCGCATTATAATTCCCGTCTTCGGCAAGGCATTCGTCAGATTCACTTTTTCCGTCCTAGACGTGAAAAATACTATTACTCGTCCTAACCTGAATACGAAGAAGTTACAATTCAGCACCAGGAATGCTTGGCTACTGCAAAGATAATCCCTTGGTCGAACAAATGTGGATACAGCATCACACAGTTTGACGGTATTATTCACACCAAAACTTTTTCCGAACTTCACTATTATTACTGAATTCACAATCTACCCAGTCTCAAATTAATTGTTAATATAAAAATAATAGATTTTTTTCCAACTTCATAGCCGACTTTGTCATTGAATCACTCTATTGATGACTTGCCCATAATATCCCTTATAGACGTTCGAGCACACTCAATTTTGCTCAATCGAAAAAAATGGGGATATTCGGAAAATTATGAATTTTCAAGTTTCTCCATCCCAGAAAAAAATATTTTTCCGTACTGGTTCTCATGATTTCTCGTCTGGGAATTGGCACTACATACTTCCCATACTCGAAAAATTTGAAAATCACTACGGAAATATATTATCCCGACTGTTGGGATTTTTGCAGAAATTAATTAAAAAAGTAGACATCATAACGATCAATTTTTGCTGTTGAGTTGCTCAGAAGTAATAGTTCACTCGAAAGATATGATGTTTTGAATGGAATCCAATTTGTAAAAATTCGAAATTTCAGATGGCCATAGCTATAATGGCCAGAACAGAAGAGTAAAAAGCAAAATGACTATTTTGAAAAGGCCTATACCAAGAAAAAAAAATTCTTTTGTCAAAAATATTTGTAGGAACCACAAGAAAATATATTTCGCATTAATAAGTACAGCTTATCGCTTCGCCCCTGTAATCAAGTAATTCAATTGGATATTGTTAATTTTCTCTCGATTTTTGTTGCTGAAGTCTTTGCAATGTGTTTAGAAGTTTTATTGATACACATCCCTCGGAAGACCCCTGGGGAATCCGAAAAACTGGGTATTGATCGTACACAACTTTCCACGCTATTACTCGAACACATTTCTGGACTTTTCAAACTTCCCCTGGCCTGGGAAATATTGAAAACTTTTAACATTGAAATATGGAGAAACGTGTATTCTAGGTCATTTCAACCATGCGTCTATATTTTGGTGTTAAAAAAATCAATGGAGTTGTGAATCAAGGCAATTTCCAGAGGTTATTTTCTAGGAAAAAGGAGAATGTCATCGGTGATTCCAGTAATGAACGAGTGGACAATTGCTCTTTTATTCCATATAGTATAGTTATTTTTGCAAATAAACTAGTAATACGCTTCCGAAATTTAGAAACTTATATCAACATTTATAGTTATGGTAATTATCTCCTGATAGTGATACTAGTAATGATGATAGTCTCCTGATAGAGGTACTAAGATCTAAGGTAGACTTTGAGAATTTTTTTACATATTTGTACTTTTGCACTTCTTGAATTACATTGGATGGATATATCACAACAAATGTGGAACTTAAATGTGACTGATTAGACTAATTCCATTTGGCAGCAAAAAAAGATAATTTATCCAGAAGCGAATATCTCACTTATTACTACCAACAATAGAGGTACTAATAACTCATTGTTGGTAGTAATGTAATAATGATGGTTATAATCCTCATTCATAAAAAATGCAGTTCCCCATTTGTTAACTATTACTTCCAAACCTCTTTTCCACAAAATGATGGATTCTACGTTCTTTCAAAAAGGTCTTTAGCTATTTTTTTTAGTAATTTGTTCCGTCGTCTTGAAGGGAGCATGGGGGACAGGCGCAGTTGAATGGAATGACCTCAATAGAATGAAAAAAAAAGAGGCAAGAATAATCTGACAAAGTACAAACCGTTTCTTTTCCATTTCGCTGTCACTAGCGAAAGTGTAGCTGCGTTGAGTGGGATCAGGTGGTTGTAGTTCAAACGCGTGTTTTCGTCCTCCAGAATTGGGCGCGGATCCATGAACTCTGAATCCATGAAGACAAGCAACACCAAATGCTTTTTCAGCATTGGCATCATCGTAAAAATAGAGAGCTGCATCTTTGAGGACACAATAGCGCCTTGACCAACCCGTCGGCGATGATGTTTTCCTAGCGCGATCCTGCTGTTTACTCAGATAACCAAAGCAATCGGGTCGCTGAATAGCGTTGGCCGGCATCTGCTGCATTCTCAACGATGCGTCCAGCCACGTATCAGCCTGATATGTATTAATAAATCATTCACACATGGTTTAATACTATTATCGAAAATAAATAGAACTCTAGACTGACATTATTGTCGCGAAATTTCTACTAATCCCGCTTTCTCTAGGATAACTAGCATTTAGGGCGCCCTTTGCCCACCTCGAATTATCATATAGGGGTACATACAAGAAATGTATTCGATTAAAAAAATCTATAACAGTATATTCAATATAGTCTTCATGTATGATTTTTCGTACCATAGGCAAGCCTCCAACTGTCAAAATGAAATTGTACCTGCACGATATACAATTCGTGATCTTATTTAAATTTGGTGTTCATTTTACCCCACCCTTCCATAATGCAAATAACTAACTGATGAATTGAGTTGAATTTTGAAATATACATATTGTTATCTATTTGTTCTCTTCCTCCCTTTCAATCGAATTTTATCTTCGTTTGCGTCTTTCTATCTTTGATCTTGTTTCTAATCCGCGGACATGCCACTTTGACTAGTATTACCTTTGTCTCAGTTCATTTTCCCAAGTAGGGTTTCCCAATAGTCAATCATTGGACCATTGCCTTGAACACCTATCTTTAACCATAGTATAACCATACTAACATTGACGAACCAATTATCGGTATGCCATCTCCAGGTCAATAATATACCAACAGTAAAAATGCCGACGATTGGCACTTCAATGTTTGGCCGATACCTGGCCAATTTTATATGCACCAAGCATTGGTGCTTGAATATTGGGCCAGTAGGTGGTCAATGATGAATTCACCAGAATTGGCCAACAGTAGAAGTGCCAATCATCGGCGTTTCACTCTTAGGTCAAGTTTGGGCAAGGGTGGGGGCCAATGCTTCAGTTGGAAGCATTCAATCAACATTTTTTCGAAGGCCCATGAACTATTCTTTCGAATTCGTTTCGAATTCGTTACAAGGAACTTTAATGCAACGTTTCCTGTTACTGATATATTCGAATCTCTGCGAACGGTCTTCGAGGGTTTGAGGGCCTGTGAGGGCCTTTAAGGATTTGTAAGGGTCTATAAGAGTCTGTAAAGATTTTTAAGAATTTATACGTGTCTGCATTCAATTGTTAGTAATGTCTGTCATATTTCGGATATTTTTCGGGATTTCTGTCGTCATTAATGAAATGCATTAATGACTTTTCCTTTCAATATAATTTTCAATAACTATTGGCAACTCGGGTGCCATCAGTTTGCTAATTATGAGTTATGATCCATCATTTTTCTTTTTGTTTCATTGAACCCACTTTATCACATAAAGTTATGCGTGCATTTAACCACTTCTCATTCCACGTGTCATATATAAAGAATTTAATTGAGTATGAAATATTTATTTATTATATTGTGACGATTTCGATCGTCAACCGAGTCTTACCGTTTTTGTTTTTTTTTTTGGTTAAAAGTCCTTTTCAAGGCAAATTAAATTTGAGTAAGGCGTCTGGGACACTCCTCTCAATCACGACTATTAGGAAGGAAATTTTACTGATCTTTCCGGCACTAATAATATCTTTAATGTTTCTAAATTTTGTCGTGGGAAAATTCACGACATCGACACCTATTGGGCAGACGAGAGGCCTTTCTTGAAATATTTTCGAGAGACCTAAAGAACCCCAAATGACCCCGATGGCAAAAATCAGAGAGAGGATCCGACGACAGCGTCCCTCTCCGAGCCCTCTCTAACTAAGGACACTTGGCTCAGGACACCTCGGTCTGAAGAACGACCTGGAGAGACAAACTTCCCACTGCCCAAGAAATTCCGAAAAAGCATATTCGACGTGGAGATTACTCCGAGATTGTCAAGGATTTCTACGAATTTTCAACATTATTGCTTGAATGCTGTTATTCCGGTGCAGCTTGACAGATTCATTTCCGCTAATCGTTTATTTTGAAAATTGTTTAAATTATCGGAAAACTTATTGAACATTTTAAGAGAATTATTTTTTTATTTATTTGGAATTTATAGGCGAAATTATTGAGAAATTTAGAGTCATGTGATCAATGTCGCAAATTATTATGGGTTGTGAATATTGTCAGGATTATGATGTACGAAGAAAAATTAAACCACTCCATTGTTAGATCGGGCCCATTTTCCCAATTCGGGGAAATGCCTCCCCCCTTTTTGAGGCGCAAGTATTGGAAGTGTATCGACTCAAGCTTGACTAGAGTTGCCTCCTGGTCAGCATGTAGTTAAGTTCAGTTTTGGAGAAGAGAACATTGTTATCATATTTTGTCTCTAATTTCAGTATTTTTGGCGTTCTGGTTGCTGTCTTACTTGGAGAAAAAGGCGGTGGAGCAACTGAACAGATGTGTAGGACCGAATATTAGTAACTCTGAGGATAATTTATAGTTTGTTAGGAGCTCCTTGTTGGTCGTGTAATGGCGTCCCTTACGGTATCCTTCTGAGTTGAAAAAATCAGACGATTCCCAATGGAGTATGAAGTCGAGCTTAGATTTAGTTTAATATTATAATATTACTATTTCGGTTATTTTGCTTAGTTTAGATATTTGAAATTTAGATATTTGAATATTGCCTTCACATATCAAGTAATTTTGTGTTACTGGTCGTCGATCGTAAAAATCATTCAATGTAGATTTCGTTGTCGTGTTAATTTCATGTCGTGATGGGAACGTGAAACCAGAAGTTAATATTCTGTATTCTTTTTCGTTCAATTTTTTATTCTGTGTGCATTATAATATTTTTTATGTTCAGTTGGAAGCCTATATCTTCTTTGCCGAGAAAGAGGAGAATCCTAGAAGAAGGTATCGCTTCCCCTCCCCCTTGTAGCAAATAAAGTCTACTCACATATAAGTGAGCTGCCAGCCATTTGGAGTTTTTGGGTTTATATTTTTGAGTTGAGCCGAGAGGAGTTAGTGCCTCTCGTAAAACTTTTCCGCAGACTGGCGCCCTGACAATATTTGAGTTATTGAGACAATTTTCTGGGTAAAGTTAAATTAAAAACTATTCTTTGGAGTAGTGGCGTGCGTCACAATATACTTGGCCAGTATTAGCAAACAAGTCTTGGTCGAACTATGATCCCAATGGTTGGCCTACTATTGTTTGCCATTGTTGGCCCAATGATATGATTCAAACGTTGAACCAATGATCGGTCATTCAATTTGCCAATAGTCCAATAGTCTAAACCCCTACTTGGGTTAATGAACTCATCATCTTTTTTTTTAAAAAAAAAGCTTTTCTCTTTTAATTTACCGCGGATGTGTAATAATATACCGAAATATATCAGGCAAAATGGGATACGAAGAGAAAAATATTTTTGACTCATTTCCAGTCGCTTTTTTTCCCCACCACATATTGGACACAATCTAAAAGTGTCACAGTATTTTTTGTACATCCAAGTTTTCTGCTTCCGAATGGAAGCATTGCAATTGTTTGATTTTTCGATTTCCTAATTGTGCCTGGAAATGACGCAGAAAGGTCTGAAACGTAAAAATACGAAGTTTGAAGGCCATGTATGAATGCGCAAATGGTCAACCGAGAGTCACTTTTTACAAAAAAGAATAAACGGGTAAGCTAATTCTCAAAAATCTGAAATTCTGTCAGTTCATAGGTTCTATTATGGACTTGATCTGTGCTAGATTTCAGTCCGATCGGTTGAGTAGTTTTTCAAATATCGGTGATTGCTTCTGAAACGATTTCGGAAAATATCTCAGAAACTATCCAACCGTCTGCATTTTTTATTCCTTTGAAATGTACGTCTCAATGTACTCTGTATGGGTCAGTCAGAATATATCTATATATGTTCCCACTAAGTTTTGGAGATGTTTCAATTTTTGTACGCCTTCTCTGATGTTTAAAAACCAATCTATCAACTTGAAATTCAGCACAAAGATTCAGCTTATAACTGCAATGTTTGATATTGCAGATGGGCTAGATCGGATGATTCGTTCAGGAGATATTCAACTCTCTATCTGGAACGATTTTCTCAAATATCTTAAAAACGATTCAACTGATTTAATTTTTATTTTTTTTCCAAAATATTCGTTACATTGTACCCTATTCAGATGAATAAAAGAGATGTACGCGTTCAAGGAAAAATATGAAAAAATTTCCATTTTTATGTCCATTCGGAAGCCAACCATCAATGAAATGAATGGCAAAATAAAATAAAGTAAATAGATAAATAAATAACATGTGCAGTAAGAATCATATATCTTCTACTGTTAGGAACTGCCCACAGCTCATTTTATTATACTTTTATTTCCTTACTTTTTTTGTTTTTCCCTAAAAACAATACGACGTCTACCTTCAATCGGTAATTTTTTGCTTCTGACTGTAAAATTCCTGTACACGAAAAAAACTCTAAAAATTGTAGAAGAAAACATTATAACTTATATAGCAACTTAACATTTTTTTGTCAGATAAGGGTGATCAAATTCTGGAAAAACGGAAAGCTTGAATAATGGCTTCTTACAATCGATCGCTTTCTCTCGCCATCTATTAAACCTCCTGATTCATCCCACTTTACCCGGATCTCCCTTATATGTTTAAAAAAATTATATTATGGATATATATTATATATTTTTAGAAATTGTTGACAACAATTTTTTAATTAACCAAACTTGTATATGCATCTAAAAATATTGAGTGACAGATTTCTAAAAAAGCAATCTTAATTTTTTTCTCTTGAAATTTTTTACAAATCACCTGAATCTTAAAGTAAAAAAGATTACTAAATTTTTCATATTAATGATTCTTTTTCATTGGAAGCTCCAATTTTCATGCTCACCGTAAAAATTTAACATCAGAAATACAATTGATTTTCTAGTACAATGAAAAGTCAGGGGAATCGCTGGTTCGTTTTTCCGAAAATTGAAAATGACCTGAATAATTAACAAATTGAATGATTCTTCATTGAAGGATAGTTAATAATTTCATGTTGTTTTACTGTAATTTCTCACCAGCGTACACTGATAAAAGAATTCTGTTGATGTTACCTAATGAATCGAACCTTTTTCTTCTATCCGATATCACCGAACGCAACAGTTTTGATAACGCAAATTATTCGGTAGTTGTTACCGAATCTCGATTGATGGAATACGCCATCTATTTTATATCGTCTGCTGACAATTATTGACCATATCCGTTTACATTAAATTCAATTATCACTTTTATCAGTATGAGATCTATTGCTCAACTGCCTCGTTCTGTAATTTTTAATAAATATTCAGTTTTTCCTAATTTAACTCCGCTATTCGCTAGTAATTGTCCACTCTTGATAACATCAAGCAAATTCTTCTATTAGTCCATCAACACTTCATATATTCCCACTTCCCCTCGAGGATTAATGGGTTGAGGGAACCCACCAATGGAATCATTTGGTTGGAATCGATATGGAATAAAGGATTATTTACCTGATTATTCCTCTGCACAGCGTCACGTATGACTGTTATCCATTTCTGCATCGAGTCCTCGTTATCCGCAGCTAGATGATGAGATGGTGCGCCTTGTTTCCTGATGACAAAACTGTGAGACTTGACATCCGGTGTTGTTTCAACCTCGTATTTTAAAAGCATTACTGCACCAACTGGTTGGGAGTCCTGCAGAAAAGCAAGAAGACCCGATTTGATTGAACTTTCACAGCAAGGTGGTGAGGTGGATTCAAGGAGGTATTAAAGAAGAACTATTACGTTTCTATTCCACCTTTATAAGTAATCTATTGGGATTATTTGTATTTTATTCAATCATTCGATTTTTTATCCGTCAATTGACTGTTTACGGATTACAGATTTGGTGTTTTAGATGATTAGTTAAATGCGCCCGTTGAGCGCGCTCGCTATTGCATCAAAGAAATTTAATATTAAACATTTTGCTGACAATTGATATTTTCTCTTTGCTAGGTTGAACCGTATATTCTATGGGGTTGTACATAAAAATAAAATACATGATTATTTGTGAGAATCAGAAAGATTAGTATAAAACAGTAAAACAGTAAAAGAGGTGTTTCAATTAATAAAAACGAGGGAATCAAGATAAAGATCTGAAATTTTCCCCAGAATTATATTTTTGGGTCATATAAATATGTGAAAAAATTGTCTTGAGTCTCGAAATTCGCTAGACCCTTTCAATAAAAAATTTCCGTATTCAATCGATGTTTTTTTTTCTCACTGCAATATATTACCTCAATACGAACGGAACCGAGGAAATATACCAAAATGCGCCGAAAAACATAATGGGCATTACGGAAACTGGTTATTTACTTGTGAATGAATTTCTGATGATAGCATTATTATGACTGCGTTTTTAGGAATATTTGCTCAAAGGCAATTTATTGAAGAACAAGCAATACGTCATTGCAGACTGCATAGTCAAGAGGCTGTGATACCCGATAAACGGTTAAGGTAAAGGTGCTCTTGTTGTCGAGAGACAATCACTGCAACATAATCCAAAGTAGTAAATTGGTTATGATCAAACGTACCGTATCTGTCTTGTAGTAATAAAGGCAGTTATCGGGCCGTAACGCGAACCATCTGCGCACCCACTTGTCTGAGCTAGACCCACTGGAATTAACAGTTGTTGCTTTTCTCCATAAATACCCAGAACACAGTGGTGTCTCGACTGTTTCCTTTGGTCCTCTGCTAACTCTTGGTGCCAGTACGTTGCACGTTCTGGCGACCTCTAACTCCAGTACATCAGGTCCTGAATGAGCGAGTCTCACAACTTCCGAGTGCGTTGCATCCATTACGCTTCTTCCATTAACAGACATTATTATATCACCCACTTCAAGACCAGACGACTCAGCAGGTGTGTCAGGCTCGATCGCTGATACAACCACCGGTTTTGAGCCATGAATTCTGAAGCCGAACTCACCACCAGCTTCTCGCTTCACTATCACCGTTTTGTCACTCTCTAGAAATACAATTTGGAGGAATCAGATTTTCTCTTTATGTTAAAGAACAATCTTCTTCATATTTTAATGACCTTAAGATATTTTCTATGTTATGCTGCTGGAATTCTTCAGACATCTTTCCACGCGGAAAAAGAATTTAGCAGGGAAGAGGTAACGGGTTGAAACCGAGGGGCTATTCATTGGTGAAATCACTGTGTCACACTGCATTAAAATCATATAAAATCGGTCCGGAAATCATGGGAAATCATCTGTAATCAATGAAGTCACTTGCACCCATTTTGATCCCTCATTGACTCTCGTCGTAAAAAGAGTCCCACATAGTTCTCATTCCATCATCCCGATTGATTCTCATAATTGGAATGAAATATTTAAAGTTATGTGAAATCATTCGAAATTATTTGAAATCACCTCGAAATCACTTCTTCGAATTTGCTGTTAAATTAACAATCATTATGTTACAATATTTAACAACGAATAGCCACTCAGTCACGACACTATTAGGAAATTATACGTGAAATTACACGATAAGAAGAAATTTACAACAATGATTTTCGAAGAATTTTGTAAATTGGCATGAAATTTCTGTGGAATTTCAATAGGATTCATACAAATTTCCTTACAAATTACTTTATAAAATTACTTATTAGGTACATCGACTTGTCTCCTCAAAAACGATTGAAATAAACGTAAAATAAATTAAATAAATAAAGCTAAATATTCAAGCTTGAGTCAATACATCTTTTTCAAAGGAAGCAGTAGATACATATACCATGAAATGTTTAAGTTCTATACAATTTCATTTCAAATCATATCAAGCGCTCTAGATTTGATGCAAGCATTTTTCTTTTGATAATTGAAATCCACAAAGAATCAATTCAAGCGATGAAGAATTTAGTTCCACATGAACAAGAAATTCATCACGGGAGTTCATTTTTTTGATACTATCATGGCGGTCAGCGACTTTGCACGATCGCAGCAGTTTTAGTGTTTACAATTTTTATTTCTGAGTGCATTGAATTTTGACCCAACTCTGGAGACTCTGCGAATTTGGTTACCTCTCCAGGAATGCGGTCTCGTGTTATTTCAGCTTCGAAGTTGCCAAATTCTCTGTATATTGCTTGGACGATTTTAGAGAGCTTCCGGCAACATTCCATGAGGCGCAGCTTCATTTAAGGGGAAGGGAAAATTCTTTTGGTGGAGATAATTTGTTTTTTTCTTCATTTTTTAGACTTTTCTTTTGACATATTATTCAATTATGTGAACACTTTTTTACGTAATTTTTTTCAGGGATTTTCGTCAGAAAATTGGTATTATATATTTCCGAAATTCGAAAACTTGACAATCATTACGGAAAGATTTGTGACGAGGCACATTTTTGCCCCCCCCCCCCTCCCCTGTTCCGTAATTCATTATCTATTTTATTTCTATTTTAGTTTAAGAAGGATTAACTATTTGCCACCGTTGGGCGACATATTCCCCTATAAGATCCGTCTCCTGTCCTCATTTCTCCTTTCCACAGGATAATGTGCCACAAAGGACATCACGTGATCTGCAGAGAGAGAGAAAGAGGGACCATCGTCAACGCGTCGACTCGTCCTGGACTACCGCGAGAGGACCCCGGAAAGCCCGAACAAGACGCAACAGTCGCCCGAGTGTCCTCGATTAGCTCTCAATTAGTCCCCGATAATTACCGAAAATCGGGGAAGAAACAGCGAGAGTGAATGATAGCCATTATTCGGATTTCGGCTACCCCGGTGAATAAACTAGACCAAGCCTGAGCAAGCAAGACAAAGTGAGCTCTCTGAGCTCACCGAACTGCCAACCCCAGTTCGGCCAACGACCACAAAAGAAGGGCTCCTATGGTATTGTGCAGCTAGTCGGAGTGGTGAGACCCAATGCATAGGTCAAAGTGGGAGTATCGTTATGTCAGTCAACGTGCAAAAACGTGAATCCCTATCCCTATTAAAAAAAAGCATGTAACGTTTTTTGTCAGCTTTTTTTGGCGCATAGCTAAGCTATGCATATCATATTAATATATTCATATAAATAATTAATATATATATATATTTATAATATATTATATATATATATATATAATATATACAATATATTATATATATATATATTTTAATTAAAAATTTATATATAATTTGTTTATATATTGAAAATTGATTAAAGAAAAAAACTTAAATTATGACTAATTTTTTTAGATACTTAAGATTCTTTTAATATTCAGATTTTATATGATAATACCCCATACATGTAAGCTTGGGTGCGCGTAGCGCGCCGTATACGCTAGTTTTTGAAAAAAAAGATATGAATTTTTTTCTTGATATTTTGCATTTTTTTCCGATGTATGAGCCAAATAGGACAACGATTTTACCACGAAAATTCTGCAAAGAAATTTCCCTCAGATGATTTGATGAACAAATTCATCTCTTCACCAGTATTTGTCAATTCATTTGCTGCCGAAATATTTAATTTTGAGTGATTTATCCAACGGAACTTTATGCGGAAGTTGATATAGAAAAAAATGAATCACTGTTATTTTTTAACGATGCAAAATATATCAAGAAAAATATTCATGTTTTTCTTTCAAAAAGTAAAATTTTTGCACGTTGACTGATATAACGATACTCCCACTGCCACCACTGGGAGTCGCCCCTTGACTAGCTGCACAGTACAACAGAATCTCTTTTCTTGTGGTCATTGGCTTTCATTGGGGTTGGGAGCTCGCTGATCTCAGAGAGCTGACTTGGCCCAGGCCTCGAGTAGAGAGTTGTTGAGACTTCCGTTCGACGGTTTCCGAAAAATTCTCAAACTCGCGTGTCATGGGTTTTGCTGTCGGGCCGAACGATTTAACCACTTCAGCCACCGTCGTCGTTGTAAGCGAAATTTTTTTTTTTTTAATTGTTCGTATGTCTACCGGTGGCTTTTCCATCACATAATAACTAATTTAAGATGAAATATTTATTATGTCATAGGTGGCCGTCATCATCATTACGCACTTGTTGCGTAATATACTATTTTCAACTTATTAGGTGATGAATTTATTTATTAGTTGAAACCAAATTTGGATACATTTTTTTATATCAATATTCATATTCGAAATGCTATGAAGTTAAATGGTACCTTTCAAGATAATTCATCTTCATTTATATTTTTTCCTACAATCAATGAATCCATTAAATATATATTTTATTATTATCAAATTGGTCCTTTAAATTCGTTAAGATCTGATTGATTCGTTTTAAGCATTGTTTAGGATTACGTTAGGAAGAGAAATATCGGAAGAAATTTTCAATCATCCAGTACATTGTGAAATACATTGTAGATAAAAAAAAAGTGTACCTGTTTCTTTTCAAATAAAAATGATCAGTCTGCATTTCAATACTGACGCAATGACTCCAAGTGATTTCACGGAATTTGAGCCCAGAATGGCCGTGATTTTACCATGAAATAGTCCTTGATGTTGAATAATTTATAATGATGGGAAAAAGAGCAACCCCACTAATTGAAATAGTAATAATGTAGGATGAAAAGAGGACAAACGGGCGCAGTTTTCAATTAATTAACAGATGGAAATGTCCGCGAAATGAGTAGGACAAAGCTGATTTACGAAATAATTTAATATTTTCCAGTCGAGAAGGTTAACGAGAGAAATTCGGAATGAACGAAACTTCCAGTAAGGTAGTTAATGAAAACGATCGTATAGTACTAGCACGGTTTTCTAAGCGTGTCGTGGTCGCATTGAACGGCTTTTACTCATCTACCTCAGTGAAGTAGTTCGATTTTTGATAGCTGGTCCGATAAAATCGTCCAAATATACCTCGATTGTATCAGCGGCGCCTACTAAATTGATAAGTGTCCTCAAAAAAGAGAGCGTCATCGAAAAATTCATCGGATCAATTATCGATTTTCATAATCGTCAAGTACTCTAATACCACGTGCAAATAATAGTTGGCAACCCTTGAAAGTCAGGGAAAAAAATCGGTCTCGTCTGCTGTCTGAAAGAAACAAGGTCGAGGCTCACTGGACCTGCCAAACAAGCAATCTGCCAAGCAATTTCAACCTCCGAAAAATTCACACGCGAAAATCTTCATATTTACCATGTGCTGTCGAGCCGAGTTTGGTCAGGGCCTGTTCCTCCCTGCACCACACCCTCAGCATGCACTTCAGAACCTCTTCGAGGGACTTTTTCAGGGAAATGTCTTCACCAAGACTAGGTGGACAATCGGCCCCGGCTGAATCGCACACCATTTTTGGGCCTAGTGCGCTCACTTTGAGCCCCCAATAATTGCCAAAACCACTTAAACTCTTTTCAATTGAAGATCGCCTGATCCAAACCAAAGCTTCAGCGCAATCAGTCACCGGGCTAAATTTTATAATAAAAATATTACCAAAAATAAGATCATTATGATAAATATTGTCAGAAAACAATGTTCTTCATGTTAGAAAAAATGTACAACTTGTACAATAAATAATACCATAAAAGGTTCAGGAGGGTGTGAAGCTCGAGTGATTTTTCCTGAAAAAGTTGACGCCTTGATTTATATACATGAAAGTTTAAGGGACATTTTTGATAAATTTGGAAACTCATATGGTATTTGGAGGATTATTTTTCCAACCCAAACGTTACTTAATAGAATTGCACCATGTAATGAAATTCGCGAATAATTGAAGCGCGACGGCAAAATTCAGGTTAATGGTATTCAAATAAACTTCTAATTCATATACGTAGATATCATCGAGATTTTATAGGAAAAAAATGAAATTTGACAGAAATTGAAAAAAGTATTATTGCTGTCACTTTCATCATCGAACTCGGTCAGGAGGATCGGAACAAATTTTCTCAGCCGTTATTTAATTGATTCGAATGATTTTTTTTAAGTTATCGTGAAAAAAATGCATTTTCGAAAAAAAAAAATAAAAAATGTAAATGAGCGAAATAATTTTTTGCTAACGACGATAGATAGAGCCCAATGAGACCTACATTTGAAGAAAAAAGATTCAATTAGGTCATGATGAAAGTGAGTAATCAAAGAAAATCAATGGGAAAAATACGACATACACACACACATGTGTGCATTTGGACACGCTCTAAAAACTGTATGTGCAGACTTCGTACGTTACACTGATATATGACAAAAAATGGGAAATTTAAATCTGGTCGATTACAAAGCTTCCATTCGCAAGCAAAAAGAGATTCGAAAAGATGAGGAAAGACTTTTCACTCGATGAATCAGGCAATAAAATTTAATAAGCGGTTAATGCAATCCAACACTTTTTTGTTTCATATCTGGGGCATTATCCGAAAGAATAAACACGAGTAACATTTTGAATTTTAGATTTTGCTGAGTTTTGAGACTGGGAGTGATAGTAGGTGATGAGAGAAGCATTCATGAATTTTTCCAAATTTTTCACTCTAACCGTTCTTGAAATATAAAATATCTTGAATTAAAAAAAAACAATCATAACTTCTCAAAAAATTGACAAATAAAGGTTTTTTCCTTTTCAAATTCCAATTTTTACCTATATTTTTATTTTAAAAATATTGCAAAAATATTAATCATTCCGAAAGTGACAAGTTTCAATTTTTGAGCAGAAACTACACAATTTCGAGCAGTCAGACACCGTCTTTTTTTTATTCTCGATAAATTTTTTTTTTTTTCATGAATTTTGACATTGTTTTCATGATGGGGAACCAATTTCTACAATATTTTATTTCAGTTTCAATATTTTCATTGTATTTCTTTCTATTCTGGAATATTGATACTCAATTTTTTGTACGAAAATATGTAATTAATGGTTCCTCCTAACTCCCTCATTTTAATATTTCAAATTTTGTGCCAGAAAGAGGCTCGTTGAACGGTGCAATTCAATTGACTGAAATTGCGACGGAAAAAATAATCAGTTAAAATACTACAAGTGCTTCGAAATTATCGTATATTTCCTGAAAGTTACGTTGCTTAGCAACATATGTATGGCAGTATCAAAATCCACAGTGCTTGCGCGAAATCCACAGTGCTTTTGTGCCAAAATGCATGTACATGCTGCCAAGCAGAGTAACTTAAGGCAAATATCCGATTAATTTTCAAGCATGAGGGGTATTCGCCAGATTATTCCCCAAAATCAAATTTCGATCAATGGGAGCTGGGATATAACATCTGTTCATCATCTTTTTTGAAACTCATTTCCACAAATGTCACGGTTTTTGGATGTTCTTTAAATTGTTTCATATTGAAATGCTTTGAAAAAAAACAAGTTATTGACTGCTTAGCAATAACTGTAGTATTTCCGAAAATTATCGCTGTAAGATCCACCACGTGATGTCAAATCCCATGTTTCTATTCGTCGATATTTGATTATGGAGAGTAATCAGTAGTAATACTCCAAGAACTTCGAAATGGTCGGGTATTCCCGATAGCTTTGTTGGAAACAAATGCGGGTGACAAGTTTTGCAGTGCTATTTAGTATTTTGAGGAACATTTTTGCAAATTTATTAATCAATAGTCTGTGCGGAATTCTCCCCAAATCAATTTATTACTTAGCAACTACCAGGGGAATATCTGAAAAATACCCAAAATAATTTACTTCTCTCAACTTACATTAATTGTGTCGTTTCTATTGGGCGGACTTCCGACAGGGAAAATAATCAAAGTAATACTCATGTGTAAGTGTCACGTGACGATGAATACTTCACGCCGATTGCCCAAAATCAGGATAGGGAAAATAATCAGTTACTAGTATTTTTCTCGTCTAGCATGTAAGAAGTGAATCTGATGAATGTGGCTTCATACTCCGAGTCGAAAGCGTTTATAACCAAACGAACCGATGTTAGAAACGCGTTTTATGGGCGGCGATGGCATAAAAACCATTATGGCCCCACCATGTAACATGAAGTTGTGCAATTGTATTGGCTGACATTCCTTATAATAGAACAAGAGCTTCAAAATTATCGGGCATTCCTCAATAGGATCGTCCAAACAAATGAAGGAGTCAAGTTTTTCAGGACGAAAAATCTTGATGACTTTATTTATTTGCAGCGATTGTTGAGGGAAATGCCAGATAATTTGGAAGCTCGTGTAGTATTTGAGGGATTATTTTTCCGACCGAAATGTCGGGCAATAGAATTGCACCATGGACCGAAGAAATTTACAGGTAAGGAATAAGAATTTCATATCTGTCAGTTTGTCGTGGGGGTGATTTGACCGGAGTGTGTTTTGTTTTTTATACATAACAACTACCAGAGGGAATTATGGAAAAATGATCAGTATAATACCATGTAGGTTGTGTAGGGAGTATAAATGCGCCTTTCTTGTGACGGTGGGCTAACTCATTAATGAGTCAAACAATGAAATTTAGAGTAGTCATTGATGGTGAACATTGCGGAGAATGACCGCCTTGCTGTTACACCTGTTGCCTTCCATAAATAGATAGATTTCAAAACATATTTTTATTGAAAATAGAATTTTTAATTTTTATAACCGCAATAGAATGCCATTCAGTGACAAAACCCCTTACAGTTGTACCACGTGACGTCGATGGTGCAATTCTATTGGTCGATATTTGGGTCAGAAAAATAATCACTTTTATCTGCATTTTCTAACTTTTTTGGTATCAAAATTTTTTTTATTCAAACAAGAAACTTTATTTCTGCGTGTTATTATATTCTGCAATGCTAGGATAAATTTAATTTTTGCGTGCAATAACTAGCGGATTACACCCGAGGAGCTTAGCTTGCCGCGTGTAATTGGCCGCTTCCTGCACTCTGAAATATAAAGCTTAACCGTTCCTTAGTTGAATCACTACTCCGGAATTTATTTTCCAGAGCATTCTATTACGTAGCAGTGATGTATTTTCATGGATTTTTTCTCATTCTCTGTTTGATTGACTGATTGCTTCACAAGTTTATCTTTTCCATTTAATAAATCCATGAATTAATGTTTAGTGAATTCCTTCATAATTTAATTTATTTTAGTTCTGACAATATTAATAGTTCATTATTATTTCATCATTTCATTTTTTGTATCAAATTCAAGTGAATATTTGTCAATACATGTATTTATTTGCATTTTGAAGTGTACCAATACGTATCATGATATTTGCTCATAATTCTCATCCCGGTTTCGTAAATATATGTGGTTAAGGGGTACAGAGAGATAAGTGAACTCAAATTTGAAGTGGCAAATTTTTTGTCACGATCTTCTTGAAGAGATGATCGAAAACTACGGAAAAAGTAATGACAAAATTGTTGCTACGTCAATTACTTTGGAAGATGTTTTACAAAAAATTGACAGGAGAGCTAGCACAGAAAAAAATCATTACTTTTGCCAGCTACATATACTAACTACAAGAAAATGCACAGATTACAAATTCCAGAATTGGCATTCGTTTATCAACGTCATGTAAATTTACTTGGCTATAGAATATTAATTTGAAACATATCATTTTTTTCCCCATCCAAGTTACCTCTATGGCAAAATATAGAGATAAAAAATCCATGTAACACCGGGCATTACTATTTATTTTTTGAGCTTATAAAAAAGGTGCAAAAATAGAAACCATATGATTGAAAAACAATATTCAATAAAAATTACGGAATTTAAATCTGCTTACCGATTACGGAAGAATTTTTTACAGAAAATTCATACAAAAATGGCAGAATGTTCTGAAAAAATGAATAATTCCGTAAAACTTTCCTTAATCACTTTTAACTTCGGCATTGCACAGAATATACCTAATTTCGATAAGAAATACTCTCTCTGTGTACTTTATATATTTCTCTCACAGAAATTTGCTTGGGCAAATTCGAAATATAAAAAAAAATTGCAAAATGTTAATTTTTTCGCATGGATGATGTACCTGATTTTACCACTTTACAGCAAATATACAGAGCAGTATAAGCATGGAATGCTCTCCACCGTGACCCACTGACTGCTGAAGCCAGAAGTCTCGAAGTTTGCTGGGTGCTGGCACTTGTGCCCCCACCGAATCACCGAAACTGTTATAGAGTACCACGACCCCAACCAACACGCACTCTCGAATACCAGTCCAAAAGATGTTGCCATCAGAGAAAGAGAAATGGTAACACCGGGCTACATTATATTTAGCTGTTACTAGGATGGCATTATGAGACCTATATTCAACGCCTAGATGATCAAATCCGCCCCGATATCTTTCATTCCACCAGTAGCTCCAGAGTCTGTGAAATATCACAGACCTATTCATTCCACTTTGACATGTTTGTATTCTTCAGACATTCAAATAACGAACGAGTGAAAAGTGGAGCGACCAGACCAGATTCACGGTGCCTGAGTCATCGACTCTTTACAGGTCTTGGGGCGGAATGAGAGGAAGAAATTCGTGATGGAGAAAACACTTTGTCCCAAGAAAACTTTGTTCACTGAGGAAAGCGATTTCTAGACAAACAAGAGACATATTTGGTTTCTCCTTTCGTCATCGACAAATTGATGAATTGTGTCATGATGATTTCTTTTCCCACCCCGAGGGCAACACAAATAGGGCTACCTTCCATTTTTCATGTTTCTCAATTATGGCAGATGCCTTCCGTAATGCGAAACGAGAAATTCCATCGGGGAAAAAGGAGAGAAAAGGAAAATATGGAACTAATAGCCCGGGGCGGACTATCTTTTCCGGTCTTCGTGTGGGCCACGAGTTGCCAGTTTTAGGGGAAAGAAGATACGTGTTACTCTGTCTTCTATTTTTACCCATATCAGCTTGAGATTTTTAAACAGATGCAGTTTGCTGATGTGCTTTCATGCTTCAGTGAATGGGTAGACGAAAAACTGGAGTAGCTTAACCCGATGGCTGAGAATACGCTAAGAACGCGTTCTGCTAGATGTGTCAGTTGTTGGGAGGGCAAGGGGGTTTGCTTAAAAATAAAATGACCTTCAACTTTTATTGATGAGGAAGGCGTGAAACGAATCGAACCGGAGGAATGTCGAGGTCTCGAAGCATCACTCGGCGCAGAATCGATCGACGCTCTCCAGTGGTGAACAATTGCACTCGTTAACAATCCCGGGATGATCAATGAAGGCAATTGTTTGCCAGTTATTGTGTTAATCCTTCATCGCTCAGTTTCACTGAAACACGGGGAAGTCTTCGATATAATTAATCTATTTAGGGTCTATAAAGATACATTCTGGGCGCAAACTACTTCAATTGTTGGCTGCATTCGTTGTAGAAGCTCCACTGCTTTATCGAATGTTTGCATTCCATTCTAATTCTCTTGGTGAAAATAAATAGATAACTAGAAAGATCGTGAAAATCGTTAGGTGAATAGGTGTTGGAATTTTAATTTCGTGGCAGCAGAAATTGATTGCATGTTTCTTCTCAGTTTTCACAATAACAAAAAGAGAAAAGATTTTTCTGGTCTGAAAACGGAGACCTTTTCAATTTCTTACATCTTTGTTTCTATACTGAGAAAGTGAAGAATATTTACTACACGTAAGTCAATTCGTAGTTTTTGTCAAGCAAATGTGAATATGAAATAAAATAAAATGTTTATTACAAAATAGAATTGCTTGAAGCCAATCAAGCCGCCGATTGCACCTATCTCCTTATATTGCCAGGAAGAGTTACTCCTGAAATATTGCCCTCAAAGGAATCGGTATTATATATCACATAACATCAAAGGTACGAAGTCGTCGGATTTGTTCAATGCCGATTCATCTAATGTTCTTCCCGCATAAATGTCAACTACAATCTATACCCTGCATACCTACGATAAATGATAAAATAAGAAATACCAATAAGTAACGCCGCACCAATGGTTGCAAGGAAAAAATCAATATATTCTTTATAGGAATGGCCAAGGTGCTAAGACTACAGAGGCAATTCCCCACCAGGCACACATCAGAAGACACCACTTCCTAACAACAGAAACATATTCTAACTAATACAGAAGAAATGACTTTTCAGTTACTTGAGATTCAAGCCAAATGAAATTAAATGACTTGTGACGCGTCAAACTGGCATTTGGTGTATCAGCATGCGGACAAATGCCAAAGTACCGAATTCTTCCATAAAATAATAAAATTTTAGAAAAACTGTAAGAATTTGTCAGAAATACTCTAATTAATATATAATTTTAAAGATGAACAACGCATACTCGTGTTGTTGAGAAAATTACTCTCCTCAATATATAGATACCTGTTCAATTATTCTACCTCTAGGAGAATCACTTTCCACAATCTCATTATATCTGAGCACAATACCATTTCGTTGACATTAAAAATTTTTTTTACGATGCAGATCTAGTTCTTCCGAAGAGTTTCCAACGTGTTCATAAAGTTAATAAGGAAACTGAGAATTTCCCGTTATTCGTGTTATTGCAATATTTTCATTTTTCACTTATTTAAGCATTTGATGAAGAGTAAGACTCACCGAAACTTTTGCTCTGTATGCGTTTGTACATTTCTCCGCTGCTCTTTCGGTGGACCATTCTGTGCGTGGCTGCTTGGTACTTCTTTTGGAAGCCCTTTTCGCTTTCGGTGGAACCTTGAGAACCTCGACGGTCCTTAATGGGACCCTCCGAAGACTCGTCGTCACCGTCTCGACTGTCCGGACGCTTCCATACATGACTTTCCTCCAGCTCTCCGATGTAAATCCACTCATTACCTGTGTACGGCTCAACATACGAGTCCTCGTCTTCCCGATCTGGAGCAAAGAATTAGAAATAATTCGGGGAAATATCATTGGGTGGTGGACATTTGGCCGAACACTAATTCGCCAATCAATTATTTGTCTAAAAAAGAATACCTCAAGTAAAATGTGTATCGAATATTTACATATAATGTCACAAAAGCTTCAAAATTAGCGGGCATTTTACGATACGTTTGTTGCAAATGAATGAAGGAGTCAAGATTATCAAGATTTTTTAATCTGATAAACTTGATGAGTTCATTTTTTTGCCGGGAAGTTTTACGGAAATGTCAGATAATTTTGAAGCTTGTGTGGTATTCGAGAGGTTATTCTTCCGACCAAAATGTCGACCAATAGAATCGCACCATGAGACGAAACTCACAGTTAAGAAATAACAATTTCATATCTGTCAGTTTGCTGTGGGGTTAATTTTACTGGATAATGTTTTGTTTTTTATATAGCAACTACCAGAGGGAATTATCAAAGAATTATCAGTATAGCACCAAGCAGGTTTTACTACGTAATGTCAAATGGTGCAATTCCATTGGTCGATATTTGTCAAAATTTTTTTTTTATTTTTTACAGTCACAATTAGTCGAGTGAAGTCAATCATGCGGAGAATTGACACTTTTCGAACCACATTGTTGATATTTCATTCAGAGCTTATTATGATCTATCCTACTCTGGAAAAATGAATGAAAATTTTTGGCAAAAATCACCGTCTGGTCACCCTGTAGACATAGTGAATCTGCCCCCAACAAATTTCAAGGCGCCGATTTTTTCACATATTTATGCCCCAAAAAGATAATTCTGTGGAAAATTTTAAATCTTCATCTTGATTCCGTGCTTTTTATGAATTAAAAAACGTGCTTTTTATTAAAAATCTGGAAAAATTCTAGAAAATTAAAAATACTTCAATGTTGTAGGAAATAATTTTTTCATATTTTGTCCTTGCTAAATTCGATTTGGTATTATTTAATCTTTTTTTAAAATGAATTTTGATGTGTACAGATTTTTTACTACTCTGAGAAAATTTCCGATGATTGTACTCGCAATTCTCTTCAAACAGAGGGAAAAAAAGTTTTAATGTTTTGCCATTTGACTATAGTAAAAACTGCAAATTTCCACGTTTTTTCTGAAGAATACCTACAGATATCAGTCCTAGAGATTAATTAACTACTAATTATAACTATGCATAGATATAGTTCATGGAATTTGAAATTCGCTGGAGGCACATTCACCAGGCCTATCCGGCTAGATCCTTAATGAAATCCTAGATGAAAAATCAGGAATTGCGTGATAAGGACCAAAATTTTAGCCTTTTTTATTCAAAATTAATTCAAGCTTAGAAATTTTCATTTCACTCCCACTAAAAACTACTGAAATGCCTAGAATTGTACGAAAGACTTGAATTGTCATCAGTAAGTGTAAAATTATTCCCTAAATGCAATTTTATGTCACCTATAAAAATTATGACCTTAATTTAATTTGTTTATTTTGTTTTTCTTTTTGTTATGGAAGTGATCGCAAGAGGTGCAGTACGTTAAGTATGAATTCAGTGGCAAGCAGCAAATCGTAACAAATTAATTTTTACTGTTGTTCAGCTAGTCGTGAAAATCTCGAAATATAAGAGAAATATCAAATTTTTTTCTCCGAATGGGAACATTGTAATCGATTAAATCAAAGTTGCTCATTTTTTATTCTATATGAACCCAATATGATTTAAAAAGTCCAATAATACTATGTGTGTGTATGTGTGTTAGTTAATTGCACAAGAAATGTTATGAAGAACTTCAATGGCTTGAAAGTTTTGTTTCGATCTTGTCGGCCGAGTTCGAAGATGGGAATAATAGCAATAACTGTTGTATCGAAATGAACGAAAGATTAGTGAAAATTCATCCTTTAGAAATATTTGAATTTTGCGCCTGTCACTAGATATTCTACTGCACTTGACTTCGATAAAAGCTAGGAAAGATAGCTTTGATGCTATCCAGTTGAAAGTAGAGGATACATACAAATAATACATTGAAGTGAAGTTATTGTCTTATTCTTAAACAGAATGGCTAAGTCGATGGCATTTTGTGAAGAACTCACATGCTAGGGTTTCCATGCTGACATCAGTGCTTCTAGCCTGGAGTCGTCGCCTGATGCCATCCTCAATAGATCCTCTGCTAGATGATCTGCCACCTCTCTCTTCTGATTTAGCTCTAGCATCAGACCGCCCGTTATTCCGATGATATCTTCTCTCCGCCCGATCCTCCGACCTGTATCTCTTATCGAATTTCTTGTACAACCTGTGACTCGCGTGTTTCGACACAGCAGTTCGCGGCCCTTCCGGTGAGTCAGCAAAACCCGCCGGTGGCTGAACTATCTCCTCCGTCACCTTAAATCGAATTCCATCAACATCCAATTGAAGTTATTAGTCGGAGATGAGATTGGGTGCAAACCTCTTTCCCGCAATTATGGCAATGATGGGAGTCGTGAGCAGTCAGGCAAGATTGATCGGCCCCCTCGCTGTAGAAGACGCTGTCGCTACCGGGAGATACGGACCGCAGGGACTCAGCTGATAGGGCTTTCAGTCTGGCTTCAGGACTTGGAGACTTGACAAGTACAGTTGTGTGCCCATTGTGACCTGAACCCCGCTGATATCTGCCACCAGGGCTTAAGCGACTTGAGCAGACGTCCTCCGGAGGACGAGTTCGTCTTCTCGGGAGGCTGCCTGTTATCGCCGCGTTCTTATCCTAATGCATTTTTGTTTTTTTTTATTTTTTGGTAACAATTTCAGATAAAAAATTTCGCGGTGAAGTACTTAAAGGAGGTGAGTTTATTTGCATGGAAATAGATGATTAACAAAATTCAGCCCTACGGTGGCAAAGTCTGTAGAGCAGCGGACTTATGATTCATCGATCCTGGGTCCGTATCCAAATGTCTACCGACTGAGAGTCGGTCACCAGAAACAGAACACAATCTTATTTGATTTGATTTTGATTTTTTGATTTTTGATTTGATTTTTTTGCCTCATATCACTCTAAATTTCCACGCCTTCAAGGTTTCGAGTATTTGCATTAACTGACAGTTACACGGCGCTTTAGAATAGCGAATAAAATTGAAAAAAGAAACAAGTAGAGCTATTGCGTTGTTTTTTTTTCATTTAATTGCTACAAATTCCAATGGATCCTGGGAGATTCCAAATCATTCTTTGCACAAGCTGGAGTGATTACCAGAATTTTAATGAAAAAATCGAAAAATCAGAATATCTCCAAATTTTCGGATGAGCAGGAATATATGCTTTGATTCTTCCAAATAGAAGTTATTGAAATGAATATTTTGGAAGGAAAAAATAAGACATTGGTTGACTGACTTCGAAGATATTAACGAAAAACTATTTAAGTTTTTTATGCCATCGGTGCCCGTAATCGCGCGATTCCAACCTCGCTTCGCTCGATTAAATCGCGGATTCCGGGCGCGATGACATAAAATATATTACGCACGTGTTGCATAATATACTAATAATCTGACAACATTTTAGATTCTTTTGAATGAGTTCAGTCAATTTATTAGTCCATTGGTACAAAAATAACGATCGGGAAGGTGGCACCAGATATTGGTACCGATAGACCAAACGTCGTATTTTTATATTTCAGACTATTCGTATCCTTATATAAAAAGGAGAGCTTAATGGCTACCGCTCAAAAATCGAATTGAAGAAAATCGAAATCAAGCGGAGGTAATAGAATACGATACATTTGTGATTTCATGCATATGAAGAATATTATTTTCGTGAAAAAAGGGATAAACTTAAAACTATCATGGCGAAAGGCATGCAGGAAAATATCACAGCGAAAACTGTCAATTTTCATGAAAAAAGTATTCTAAACATTGCAAGTATTTCAGTGACGATAAATCCCTCTAATTTTTGCCTTCAACTTAATTATTTGTTAAACGAAAAACGATTAATAAATTTGTTGGTCATTGTTTATCACTTTTCATCTGACAGATAGTTCACGTCAGGGAAAAAATGATGAGAAAGATTGTCCTTAGCCCATATTGAACTCTTGATGAAGGGGTTTTTCCAATAAAAATCGACTGATTAAGTCTGTTTCGCTACTTTTCCGCATTTGTTAGGAAATGTACTATTTGATCATTTTTTATTGAAATTTTCAATCTAGTGCTGAAAATATCAGGTGAAATACTTTAAGTACATAGTTATAACGATTATGTGGACAGCAGATTAATTGAATTATCACGTGTTTTTTTTCAATTAATCCGAAAAATTCATAACGGTATTGCCGTGTGTTTTCACCAAAGCAACAACAATCATTGAATTCTAAAAATTTACTTTGCATGTTACCTTTGACGAGAAATTGAATAGAAATTGAATATAATTGCATCTAAGCAAGTCGTTCATTGCAATATAAAAATTAACTGTTAATAACTCTAACATATCATTTACAGTAGTCAGAATGATAATTAAAAATTAATGCCAAAGCGAGTATTTAACAGGAAAAAGAGCATAATGAATGAGGCATTCACAACTCCATGGAAAAAAATGCTCGAGTTACTGGAATTTTCACTATCATTTTATTATACAAAATTAATTGAAATCAATCAGAATAAGAATAATTAAAAATTCTAAAAACCTTTGATATATTTTGTCTTAAGTATAGAAGAATGTGAATGCACCACAATGAAAACGATAATCGATTATTTCAGTTTAAAGAAATAATGATAAATTTTTTGGTTTTTATTTCGGCCCTTTCTGTCCTATTCTGACTAATTGGCCCTATCTCACCCTATGCATGCGGCTGTAGATCCTACACTGTACCGTATTCATTCTCCTATAGAACATAGTAGTGACATGGGAAACCACAGAAAAAAACATATCCGTACAGGCAGTTGCTGCAGTAGGCTCGCACCTAGCCACTGAGCTACCGACGTCGGTTAATGATAAGATTGAAACCGAAAAATTCGGATGGTACAGATCAAGACAGCTCTGACTCAAAATTAGAATTGTTGTAGGTATATATAATATAATATATAATCGAAGTAATTATAATTGTTCATATCATTTGTTAAAATGTTACATAACGTTTGTTCGAAACAAAGTCGATTAGAATCAAAATAGCTGAACTTATGCGATTTTTTAAATATTTTTGTTCTATTAAGTAAGCGGAGAATTGAATTTCTACATGGTGAAATTGATTATCATATGTGCACTTTAAAAAACTATTCTATTAAGAATAAAATTCCGAAACTTGATTATGCCTAAAGGGTTGTGTTTCACTACTTCCAAATATAGCATAAATTAAGAACGTTAATGTTCGTGCTCTATCTTTGAAATGATTAACGTCAATTTCAGATTCACAGAAGAAATCAAGTGGCGATTTTTTAAACAGACTATATATTGTTGATATATATTGATAAATTTTTGCTCTTTCGAATGAAATACGCACTGTATGTTGATAAATTCATGTCATTCTCCTCTGATGTACTATTATAAATGATGTTTGAGAAGCAGTTGCCTTCAAAGTATAATTAAAATCTCACTCGGTTTCCATAGAAATTAGCAGATGCACAATTCAATGCAATAAAAACATTTGATTGAACATTTTAGTTTCATCAGCTGAATTGCATTATCAAATGAAAATTATTTTAACTAATAGAAGCAAGAACTATTGAGTGTGATACGAAAAGTAGCATAGACAGAATCATTTATTATAGTTTCAAGTTTGTGGCATTTTCAAAGCAAACTATGAGAAAGATGATGAATAAATTCATTCTGATTTAGTAAAAGAGTATCAGAATCGACCATGCAATTTAAAAAAAAAACTGATTCCTTTCGTGAAGAAATGAAGGAAAATTACGAGGGTGTACGAAGACTCAAAAGTTCCGAGTTGTGAAAAATTTAATGCTGATTAGGCTAATGCGAATTTGATGATTGTGCACACAAAATAAAATTTTCATTATAATTATTGTTAAAATCTCATGCGGTGATCACGAGGTTGGTTAGTTACCTACTGAAATTAAAGTGGTACTGAATTGACAAGCATAATTTTTAATGACTTTACACTGTGTAGAATAAAACAATGATGAATCATTAGTTTTTGAACAACATAAGAAAACAATATGAGAAACGATATTGAGAACGGACACCGAGCCGGTGCGGGGGGTGCTAGGTGCTAGGGCGGTGCTAGTTTTACATAATTTTCGATAAAAATGAGAGAATGTAAAAACCAAAAGATTTCCTTCAGAAGAAAAAATTAATAAAATTGACCATCACGTTTTGTAATGGTGTAGTGTAGCGGAAATTCCGAAAATTTAACAAGAATTGGTGTAAGAATTACACAAAAATAGAAAAAAACCGAACTGATCGTGAATTGATACCCCTTTCACGCTAGGACGCAATCGAAAAATTCGCAATACGTGAAAAATGACTAAATGAACTTGGATTTCTCCGTGACTGTTACAGAAGTTTCCTGTAACGTCAAGTAAAAATTACACTACACAAAAGTAAAAATCGAGATTAGTTCCATAAGTTTTGACGAAACACGTCCTAATTTCACGGAACTTTCACACGATTTTACGTGAATTTTTTTCTCCATATACGTACCTCATTACTCTTCCGCCTTGATGCATTATGTCCTCCGGCTTTCCTTCTGGGACTTTCCCTAGTCCTTCGATGTCTGCCCTCCTGATTGTCTCGATGAAGATGATGCGGATGATGATAATGATGCAGATGATAGTGATGACTGCAGCTAGAGTCGTCGGACGTTGGAATCTGAAGCTCGCCAATGGGCTCCCGAGGCCAATCCTCTTTTTGTGGACTCCTAGAAAGTGTCGACAGCGTCGACTGGACGGAATCCCGTCTTCTATTGTTTCGGTATTGCCCTCGATTGGCGTTGTTCTTGCCCCTGGGTCTGTGTCGATGTGAAGGGGTTGGGCTGACATCAGCGCTATCAACGAATCCCTCAGGTTTGTCCTGATGACTATGATCCAGATCCAGGCTGTCCTGGAAATCAAGGGTGAAAGTTTTCCGTCGCTTTCGTCGCTCCTCTTCGGTCCACCCGGGCGGATCTGGTGGGGATTCAATGTAACCCCCTGATGACAAACGACGATGATCCAACAATCGTTTACAATATTCGTCTTGTTCAAGTTCGACGTCAGACGTGTGACCGCTCAGAGGGGCAGTTTGATAACTCTCATTTGGTGGCTCAGGCATGGCGTCCTCGAGGTCATAACTTCCTGAACTACTGCTGCTCGTAGATCTCGCCGGTGATGGTGGCACTATATCACTCAGATCGAGTGGAACCTCCAGCTCTTCGACAATCGCCTTGGGGCTCGCCGGCTCCTCCACTACGGCCTGTGATAATCGATATCTCACAATCGTAAATTGTGACGGGACTTTTTTCAATGTGGACTATTAGTTGGAGTGGGTAGAATTGGGTGAAAAACTATCGTGAATGGGGCTGGTTGGGGGCGGAAAATCCTCTTGAGCATGAATGAATGACAGGAGGCTCGTAGATCATGAGAGAGAGACCATTCAAGAAATATTTCAGAAGAATTTCTTTCAACTCTATCAACTCCTCCCACCAGTTATATCAACATGCTGTTATAAATGAAGTTTGAGCAAGTGGATGTTACTTGGCCCAAGAACCATCAGTCCAAGGACTTTTTGTGCAAAATTCGTTCTTTCCATCGATTCACAAGCCCCTAAATTTTCCGCCCATAGCTAGTATTCGTTACAATGAATGAAATTATTATTTTGGCGGGTAATTTCATTTTTTATTTATCCATTATCTACTTGATCAAACCTCAGATATTTTAGATTATAAATTATACAGAAAGTGGAATGTAAAATGCTATCCATCAAGTTTCAAAATCTGTATACGAGGGAAATAATTCAAATTCTGGAAAGTTACTCCCAAGGACCAAAAGTCTTGACTTTCCGACCACGATATAGTATATTGGGCACCAAGGAGAAAAACAGAGCATTCTAATCCGTGTGTGTATTAGCAACATGAAGCGAAGCCGAGGGTGGTAAGCACGCGGGTTTGAATGGCTTGTTACCCTTCCTCGGTGCACATTGTTCTTTCCATCATCACTGCACGGAAAAGTTCGATTCTTTTTCGTAAATGACGGGAGGAATGTGGGTTATGTCATCCCGAGGATCCTAAAAAACAATAGAAATCTGAGGGATAGAATAGGCCACTTTTTTCTCATCATTTGGAGAGTAAAATCGAACATTCCGTGTAGGTATGACAGAAGTATCTTTCTACCCGAGAATTCCACCCTAGGGCGGAAAATATTCACTTTCCTCCTGCTCTTCACACCGTAAAACATGAAGTTCTCTTTGCCGGCATATTGAAAAATAGCATGTGCGGGAAAACATGACTTTCTGCCCGTGATGCACAATATACTTTTTTCCAAGTAAATTGACTAACATTGTAAATGCAAATATTTATATACATTTGCTTGTACCTAGTGAATTACCTTGACAGAAGTAACTTAATTGAGCAGAAGTAATTTTTTCCCCAGCGTGGTCTATAAAACCTTCAGTACACTGTATTATATGTCTTATTTAACTTACATCAAACAGATAAAGAGAAATGGTAACTGTTGTCACATATTTCGACGTTAAGTCGTCCAAACCAACAACCATGATAGTCTGAATCGTGAGATTAACATCGAAAAAATGGAAGGAATTGAGAACGATATTTCTGGTGAACTCGTGACTTTTAAATTTTCGGTTTCGTGCTCCATTTTATTTTAAAATTAAAAATTGATATACTACACAATGGTTATTTATAAATAACTGCATTGGGAAATAAGTATGAAAAGATTTTTAAAGAAAAAAATTTTGGAAAAAAGAACTAAAAGATTCGCTGAATGAAGTTGAGATAGATGAAGAGTAATTGGACGTAAGCTTTGGAGCAGAAGTATCAGAGGGATTTGAACTTACCTCACTTCTTGCCAAACTGTAAATTGAACTAGCGCTTTCAAATGAGCTACCGTCGGCAGCTGTGGCAGTGGTGGAAGTGGGTCCAGAGGGCGCTGTACTAGATGAGTAATGGAGACCGGGTCTTGACCATGAGCTAGGGGTTGCTGATGTACCGGTTGTGTTTCCAGTGCCTGTCGACGTATTGGCGGTCACGTAGTCTTCAGTTGTCGAGGCTTCGGACAAATCGCCAGCGAGAGTTCTTCCAGAGTCCGTCCTTCCGAGGCTGAGGGCGATTTCGCTCGATGATTGAGATTGAGGTTGAGAGTATGGAGGACCAGGGCTACGACGAAGGAGGCCACTTCTGGGCCTGCCATTCGTCACGAGAAGTGGAGGATCGTTGGGTGTCAGGATTATGGGAGTTGCTGTTTGCAATCGAATCCTGGGGCTAGGTGGCGACAGCTCCAGCTCGTCCTCAACATCCAAAGCTTCCGTATCCATTGATGACCTCTGCTGATGTTGTAGCAGAAGCAAATGGCGCCTCCGCGAGGAAGGCGTTAGCAAGGCTAGGCAGTCGGCCTGGAGAACAGTTGCTTGGGATTCATTCCAGATGCCGTCACTGTGGTCCTTCGTAACGTCGTTCGTCAGTGAATCACTTGAAGCAAATGGCGACGACGCCGTACCAATTATTGGACACGTTCTCAAGAAATTAGGACGTTGAATTGCGTACCGCGGACTTTCCGCCACTCGGTGAGCTGCAAATATTCAGAAAGTTAGTCCTGTTAATGGGCATTAATCCACTGACTGGAATTTTGTTCACTGCCCATTATATTTCAAGAAAATATTATAATAGTGAATTAACTAAGAGAAGAATTAAAGCAAATTATTATAGGATTATACCAGTAGTGACCACGGGACAATTGATTACAGAAGAAAATGACAGAGGACGATTATATCACAATATCAAATTAAACCAATATCAAACGACAACTGAAATTGAGAAATAGGTAATCCCCAATATTTTCGACCTGTGATCAAAATAAGTGGTGATCTAATATTTTGTGAGTAATTGTCCTTATCATCCAATTCGTGATCATCCGAGTCGTAATCAGCCGTATCCCTTATAAATAGTGACAACGCCTACGCCTATCAGCAAAATTTAAGTATAAAATAGTAATTCTGATGGATCGATTGCTTGAAGATTATCAATTGCACATTATTTTGTAGGAAGTAGGTCGTAATCAAAAACCACACATAAGGAAAAAAACGGTATACCAAGCAGAGATTGTGAGCAGGTCCTTGAGTGATTTTTTCAATTATTCAGCGCCATCAATGAATTGATGGTATGCTTCCCAACTGCCGGAGAAAGTGCTCGAAAGTATGTACTCTCATTTCTTGAAATATCAATCGTTTAACTTGAAATTTTGCATTGACGATGGATCGCCTTGGCAAATTTAATAAAAATTCTTCAAAATTTCCTATGGTGAGGTATGTGACTTGAACTTAATGGAGATAGAGGTCAGCGAAACGAATATTTTGAGAAAAAAAATGCAATCGATTGAATAGTTTTTGAAATATTGAAAAACATGTTTTTAGATACAAAATTGAATATCTTCGCAACTCGTCATTCGAGTCAGCCCTTCTTCAACAATGAACATTTCATTCCTAAGCGGGAACTTTGTAACGTTACCGTGCTGACAGAATTTTTTAGAAAAAAAAAAGAAAAATTGAAATGTCTCGAAAACTTATTGGGGATAGGTCTACATATTTCGATCAATTGAGATGATCATTTTGAGAGATTGAAAATTGAAAAAGATTGGGTAACTTTCGAAATATTCAAGGAAATCAATTTTGATACAAAAGAGAATATATCATGAAGTGAGGATCCGATTCAACTGTTCCCCAATACCAAACATTTCATTACCAAGAGGATATTTGATGCCAAATTTTAAATTCATGAATGAATTTTTCACAAAGCTCTGCCCTAACAAATTTTTTTTTTTAACAGAAAAATTGGAATTTCGAGAAAACTAAATCCAAATAGGTATGCATATTTTGATTGATTGAGTACATCGAGACGAATATTTTTAGTCGTGAAAAATTGAAATCGTTTTGATAGTTTTCAAGATATTTGAGAAACCGTTCAGAACTAAATGGCAATTTATGAAAACCGACTGTACCGGACGAGGTGAATTTTGACACAGACTTGGGCCTTAGTAGTACCTATAATTTGACTAAATTTCATCTTTCTTGGGATAATTTCAACCATTTAGACCTTTAACTTTATAAAAAAGCGAGCAAAGTTGACCCTATGCACATACACATATACGGTTTAAATTTTGTATTTTTACGTTTCAGACGATTCTACATCGTTTCCAAGCAAAATTAGAAAATTGGAAAATGAGACGATTATAGGGCTTCTATTTGGAAGCAAAAATGAAATTACTATAAGTAAATTATGCATAATTACGCACAATGAATGGCCATAAAGCGAAAACCAAGTTGATACCGATGTAGATACAAGGAGCATGAGAAAATAGTATTACCTGGAGTGGCGGTAGGGGACGTTGGTGATGTTGGTAATGAGCGGGGAAGGCTAAAGTCACTGGAATGTAAATCCTGTACACCATCCTCCAGAGAGATACTACGCTTGCGGAATAAACCACGTCGGATAATGTTTTCGTGGAACTCCTGGAAAAATAAATCATCATTCAACAATTCCAAAGAAAAGTATTGATGATTCAATACCTCTTCGCGATGATCATTAAGCGGTGATGAGGTTCTCAGCAACGATAGATCATCAGGTGTCGATGAGAATTGGATGGGAGGTCTCGTTGACCTACTCCACGGATCATGATAATTCCTTCTACACGTGTGCGGATAACTGGGTGCACCAGCCTCGTCAATGAGTTCTCTTCTCTCCACCCTAATCTCGCCATCAGATAGCGTCTTAATGAGTCGAACGGGTCGTATGCAGATAACAGGCATTTGCTGGAGCATGGCACGAGCGTCTGGTGATACTGGGGCAGGTTTGAAGTCAATCAGTATCTCTTCATCATCCTCCCGGTACTTGTCCCTGACCCTCTCGATGTCACCATTCAATAGGTGCTCATTAAGTCGTTCAAGTCGTGGTGATGCCGGTGGTGTATCTACTAAAAATGGAGATCTCGGTGGCTCTTCACTCTGAGTCCTCTGGAGTGGCTCGTGCTCGGACTTCTCCTCGCCCAAGGGCCCGCCAAACTGGCCCGCCTCTGAGAAGCTCTTTGTCAGCTTGCGACCGTTGATGATGCCATTTGTTTGCGCACCCTGCGACACCATTTTCACCCGGTGAATTGTCCTGGGACTCAGAGTGAGGGGTGGTCTGCGAGAATTTGCAATGTCCGTTTGTGTTGCTTGTGTCTTCATGATTCCTCGTCTCCCCAGCACCAGAATCTTCGGCTCTGGTGGTGGATACAGTGCAGGTACTGGGGGCAGAGTTGCTTGAAGGGTCGGCTGAGAGTCAATTAATCGTTCAGGATTTTGTGCTCTCGGTGGACTTTTGCTTATTGGAGCGACATCGAACGATGTCAGTGTGTGAGAACGAGCGAAACTGACGTGCTTTGGTTTGTGGATACTGCCTCGGCGGGGTATGGTAGACTGCAGCAGTGATCTGGGTCCCTCAGGTCGCATCGAATCCTCGTCCTCTGGGAGCCATGTGTATCTGTGGGTCAAGTCAAAGAATCATGTGCTACAGTTTACGGCCTTGAAACTTCTCCGATACTGAAATATTTCACTTGCCGAGCTCATCCGCTGGGAAATCCCTACTCACATGACGAAAATAAAAACATACCATTTGTATTGGATTTTTTGTTTCTATTTATCAATCGACATCATCACATTTGCACTTTATTTTTTCGCTGAGTGAACTCGAAGTTTCTACGTAAATATCACCCTCGAATAACACCGCTTAGTCAAAACTCGCTTTTGCATATACGACGCATGACTATCATGTCGGTCTACCCTTAAAAACTGTAGTCGCATACATAGTACGAGGGGGTGGCTCGAGGCACTCGCGTCTGTATTTATGTGAAGATGGTCTCGAGTAGATGCGAGAGTGAACGCAATGAATGCCCGGATGCTCAGAAAAGATGGTGTCTTTGCAATACAGCTCTCAATCATTTGGATGAGTAAAATCAATTGCTCTCTAATGGGTCGGAAACTACATCTCAACTTCTATTACACCACATTTTTTATTAACAAGGTTTAATGGTTCCACTTTTGGTGAGACTTCAAGCGTTCAATATTACGTTTGATTCGAAAAAACGTTAAGTGGCACCTCAATTTGAGTGTATTAGATTTCAAATTACGACTTTCACTTGAGAGTTTTTAACTTTGACACTTGACTTTGAATCTTGCAAGTCTTAATTTGAGACTAATCGAAGCCGTAAGTGTTAATTTGAAGTTTTTCCTCGAGCTGTATTTTAAAAAATCGGCGAATTTGAATGAAAATGTAAGTTTAGTGAAAGAGTCTCAAGTTAAGTCTCAAAGTCATGAAGTTTCAGTCGGAAAGTTTTCTCGTAAGGTCCTAAAGTTGTAAGTCTGAAATTGAGGCTTTGAAAAGTCGTAGAATTCAAAAAAATCTGAAGCTGAGTACTAGAATACTCAAAATAACTGTTAACAATGGCTTCATTTGAAACGGGTCAAAATCTCAATTCTAGCCACAAAAGTTTCAGAGTAACACTGATCTAAAAATTTGATGTCTTGCTATACTCTCAATTAATCACATGAATGGACCAGTTGACCCCGAACAAGGTAGAAACTTCAATTAAACATCATCTTTAACGTACCGAGTTTAATGCATGTGCCTAGAGAAACCCTCAGCGTTATTAAAAATAGACCAGTGGGAGGGAAACGACAATTATTCACTCAAAAATTCAACGATCCCCTTAACCCCATTCTCACCGGGTCGTGCTTGCACAGAATACCCAAGATTACGGTGGAGTTAGTAAAATTTCACCTTTTGGGATCCTGAATAGAGCAGAAGGATGTGGGACGCCGTCGAAAGTAGGAGCTCTCGACCCACTCCTCATCATCAATATCGTATCTCGTTATATCACGGTGATAACTCGGATAAGGCTGTTGATATAGAATTTGAAATGGCTTTCTGGGATAAGGTGCATCACATATGTTCTCATCGCTCGATGCACTCCTGACGCATGCAGAAAGAATTGATACACGTGTCGCTGTGCATGGTGATGGTCCTTTCGTTGATAGACAACCAAATATACCGCCGGTCGATTTTTCAACGGCATCCAATTGTCTACTTGTTATGCAATACTGCTCTTTGATGTCCTCTCTGGAATAGAGAGGGGTGGCACGGCGATCCCAGTCATGGATACTCGTGCTGTGGAGATCAACCTGGGTCGAAACATCAACCTGTCAATTACGAGAATTTCATTTTTAGAATGACCATTCCATTCAGCTGCTGATACTCATGAGTGACAGCGATCGAGGTAATGAGAGTTATGATAATGTTTGGAAGGATTGGTTTTGGAGCTTTTAAAGGAGCACATCATCTTGTTGGACCTTACATCAACCCGAGCTTTGAAAATCTATCATCTAGGGGCCATCGAGCTTCAAGGATCAAACGGCGAGGTCGAAGCCTCTCAAGGAAGCTCATTCTCATCGTGCTAACACTACCACACCCTAGATTACTCTCATTAATGCACAAAGGCCGATAAGCGACAGATCTGTTAATGAAGGTTATCTTCGTCTGCAATGTCTATGAAATTTTTATCATTTTTCGCTGGTTTGCAAGCATACCAATGGTCAGGAAATCAATGTCATTTCAAAATTATAAAAGTCTTGGCTCGAAGATTCTCCTTTCTAAGATCTTATGTTAACGAAAAAAGTACTAAATTTCTCAAATGAAGACTTAATAAAACCTGAATTCAAGTCCTACAAATTGGTTATTCCATTCCTGAAAGTCTGAAATTAATAAAGACTTGGAATTGTCAATTGCAGTCTTGAAAGTTCCAAGCTGACACTTTTCAGTCGTAATTTAAAATTTTCATTTATCCTAAGGGTCCCGCAATGTGGAGCTTAAAACAAAATTCCATTAAGTTCTCAAGGCCTCAAGTTCATTTTCAACTATGTCAAATTGTAATTTATGAAAACCTAAACTGAAAAAGTAAAAGGTCGTCCTATGGATATGGCACACGTAAAGAGGTTTACTATAAATATTTGGACTAGTGACAGCTGACAGATTAAATCTACCATAAAAAACGCAAATTTCTTAGTGAAATCATCAGATAAAACAATTAATCAAAGTAATCTCACTGTCGAGTGATTCTATATCTTCCTATATGGAATATTCGCTGAGCTTGATGGTGCGGTCAATGAACCATAAAACGGGTCAAGGCTAGTCATGAAAGGAAGTGTATACAAGCAGCCGAGGTTTCTACGATTTCACTGGTGCTTGCACATCGGCTAATATCCATTTATACCGGAGAATTCACATCCATTGGAAAGCCAATGGCAGGCATTCGACTGTGATGCAATAACCGTAAATAATTGATTTTAAATTCATATCCCAACCTGAGGGTGCATCATGTGAACATTCATAACTGGCGTTGAATTGAGAGCTGCTGGATCCAAATTTCTAGGATCCATGGCTATTTCGGCACCAGGTGATCCAGCACCCCTGTAGCCTCGTGGTCTACCAACTGTCCTGGTCATTGGTATCATCGTACCAATTCTCAAGTCGTGGCCGCACCCCGTTCACTTCTCCCAACACCTCAACAGTCTTATCGATCGTCTAACTCACCAAGTCGAATAATTTCTTTGATTAATCCTCGCGCTTTCCGTTTAGCAGGGGGAGGGGGCTGATAAAACTAATTGATTGAGGGCATTAGGATTGGTTTACGCTGAAAGATCCTTGAGCTCCCACGATTTAACCCTATGGCTGGTGCCCTGTGGCGCACTGAGATTACACTCACGATCTCTATTATGCGGTGTTTACCGAGTAGTTTACTTGCCAGGGGGGTACGCGCCTCAGGATGACAGGTGGCCTCGACGGATATTCTTACGATCGAGCTAAGAAGAAAACATGGACGGATTGGAGATGCTGCAGAAATTGAACAGCAATTCCTCGTGTTGCAGCCCGATTTTCTCGATCAACGAGCGATACCTCTTCCTCACATACTTCGGGTTATTACAGTCAATGAAAAATATTAATCGGACCATCCGAAATGATAGGGAATGTGGGTGAAGACGGGCGGCGTCCTCATCACGCGCCGCGACGCCTGCTCTTACTGACGTGCGTTATCACAGATGGATTAAAGTAGGACGTGAGGGGAGATGTTTTGGTATCACGGGGTGGGGTTGGTACTGGTGACTGTGCGCCGTATCAACCCTGACAGGGATGTTTTTCGTAGAATTTTCCGGGACGAAGGGGGGCAAGATTGTCGATGGGAAAATGGGCGCTGCGCGCGTCTCCAGCCGCCAGACCAGCCGTTGCCACTGGTAACCAAGCACCATCCCCACCAAAGACAATGTCCTTTAAAAAATATTAATTAATTATTTTTAATTTGAATTATTAATAACAAAACATATGAATATGATATATGCAATATCAATAATTTTCAATACATCAGACTTTTCGTTCTCGCAAAAGTATTTTACAATTGCAATTAAAGCGTAAATTAAGGTAAAAATCGTTGAAAGGTGGGATTATATGAAGGTCAAATGACGACTTCATAATCGTAATTATGAATCCAATTATTGTAAATTGCTTTTATTTAATTGCAACTTATATTTGCATATTTCATCTTTTATTCATGCAAAAATGCATAAAAAATACGCAAAAAGTATATACTTAATTTTTTTTATAGATGCTCTGATTTCACTTTTTGTCCAATGCTTTTTCAAATAAATTACTTCATACGGATAAATGTAATATACTATACTCAAATATATTTTTTTATACGATGAATCCAATCCAATATCTTTATTGATCAAAAGATTCATAAACGATTGATCAATATTCGCAGCAACTCCCATTTTTTTTTTAATTAATTTCAGGCCCCTGTGATGACTAAGCAATTTTGTTCCTATCAGGTGTCTACAAAATTAATCAAATGTATATCTTGGCTGGAAAATAAAATTAGTTTTCGTCTTCAAAGTCGGTCTTGTTGATTTTACTCAGTTTTGGAGCTATTTATGTTTTACCGACTAATGGCAATTCGTTTGATTATCGTCTGAAGTTATCACGGATTTTTTATCCATTGCAATCCCTTGCTTTGCGAAATCTGATAACACCGTGAGATTTTCACTTCTCAGAGTCTTGATCGAAGTGGTGAATGTTGAGGCAAATCAGCCATCATACCGCACGTGTTGGAAAAGTAATGAGAGCGGACATTTGGACAGTCGTTTTACCGTTAAAACACAGGTTGACACGTGATCTCGACTAATTGCTTCCCTTAGGGAACTCAAGGTCCTTTGAACATCTGGATCAGTGGGTAAAATCAGGGAGAATGGGGTGAATCCTCGATGGATGGATAATTAACTCTCTCAACTCGGCACGTCAGGAAAATCGAAAAGCGTTCGTGGAAAGAAAATTATTAGAGGCTTTCTCGGGCTAATTCTGGGAGTCGACGCTCAATCTTTCATAGTCGCGAGGGAGGAAATGATTTATTGATCTTCTGGAGCCTCGATGGAGTTTTAATACGGCTGGACGTTCAGTTGATAAATAAATCAATGGCTATTGTGATTTTGCGGGGTTGGGAATTCGTGGGAAATTTGTGACCAGGATCAGTAATTCAAGAAATAGGTTACGAAACGGAGGTAAAGGATTCATTGTTTTGAGTAAAAGTTACTTGATTCTAGAATTTGACTGTTATGAACAGC